CCAGCATTCGGCGGCATGCGGCAATGGTCTTCGGGTTGGCAATTCCAGATACTTCAATCTCACAATATCTCTCAGGTATCTCTAGAGGCACTCTAGGCACGGCAATTTGCACGCCGCTGCCTGCACCCTCGACCTCGGTGCGTCGGAGCTTCCTCTTGGCCTGCACTCCCCGGGCTGTCTCGGGGGACCGTCCCCAAGCTTGTGCGTCATGCCCATGATGTCTCGATTCTCTATATTCTCTATATGAAGGGTGCGAGCAGTTCTTTGACAATGCTCGCCACTGATCGGTCTGCAATGTGCAGGAATTCGCCTTTCGAGCTGCACGCGTCAGCCGCCTAGCAGCCTTCTGTCAGTGGGCGATACTTCTCAACAGCCCGCAGAGCGAATCCACGGAACGGCTGCCTTCTTTCTTTCCTTGCGCATCTTCTTGTAGAATCTTGCCTGCAGGCGCTCCACATGGACATTGCAGACATACACATGTTTCCGTATGTGTCGTTTTCGTTGGGCTGAGCCTCACCATGTGGTCATTGAACGGGGATGTGTTCTGCAAGGCGAATATGTCGTGCAATACGTATGTAAATCGAAACTAAAGCATAATCGCATTGTCTCTCTCTGTCTCTCTCTGCACGCTTGGCCCCCTCCCGAAGGAGAAGGCATTGTCTCTCTCTCTCTCTCTCTGTCTCGCTGCCACACAGTATGTAGGGGCAACTTTTAATACTTGACTTTGGAGAATATGTCGTTCTGTTGGGGGGTGCTTTATCAAAAAGTTAGCACAACAGAAAAAAAACTAAAGAAAGCGACAAGACAGAAACAAAAGGAAACAACGCATCCCGCTTTTCGGCTCACCTCGGGCATGCGCCAACGGTGGGAGTCCGGTGGCTGCTTCATCGTCACCAGTCCCCCCCCCCCCCCCCCCCCCCCTCCCCCGCTCTGCACTGCCTAACCCAGTCCCATGCATGGGGCCACCCGGGTGCAGGTGTTTCAGTGCGCAAGTCTGGGGACAATGCTTTGCCCCTCTTCCGCAAGATCTGTGTCAAGCTAACATGGGAGATCAGCACAGATTTCTATGAAGGATTTATGCTGCCTGCCCACGAAAAGCCTGTATTGTGGGAGCAGGTGCTGGGTACCTTGGATTTGTGATTTTTTCAGGAAGAAAGGGATAGGAAAACACTTCTTCAAGGAAAGTTCGCGGTTCGATTGGAAACATTGGTTCCGAGTTCTAACTGAGTTATACGTCCTGTGCAACAGCTTCTTTTCGCAAGTGTCAGGAGCAGATCTGGCACACACTAGGTCTTAAAAGTGTCGATGAGCCGTCGGCCTGACCACCTCTCAGGCCTCCGACCACGCACTCAGTGCTCTCTTTGTTTCCATGTACACACTACCGGAAGCATCATCAGCTTCATAATCTCCTATCCTCAAAGAGAATTTACAACTCTTTTTGTATTTACAAGAGACAAGTTGGTCTTTCGCCATGCAAGATATCTAGAAACTTGCATCCCGGTCTTTGTGGACAGGCCTACAATATGCTTGTTGGACATCCTGTATTCCCAATTTTTGAGGCGCAGGGGGGGTTGCGATTTATTTGCCTGCAAGTCTTGAGGATCTGAAAAGAGAAGGCCTTGTCCCTGACAAATGTCGGCCTGGGCTGAAGGCGTTCACAGATTTAGCGATGCGAGGGGCCGTGAGCGACCCCGCAGACCCTCCCCCCCTCCCCCCCGAACACTCCAAATGTGCAAGAGCAACTTGTACATAAACTCTGGTTGCATAGGGTGTGAGGGGGCTTCCCGGATCCTGCCTCACTGCTGTCCTCGGCTGCACCAAGCTCCTGCTGCATGTGACGTAGTTCTATGAAAGGCCGAGCCTTGTGCCCGAACTCCCTGCAGCCTCTGGCTCAGATCGCACACGCCTTTCCTCGCACACACTGCTCTCTCTCTCTCTCTCTCTCTCTCTCTCTCTCTCTCTCTCTCTCTCTCTCTCTCTCTCTCTCTCTTCAGCAGACGAGCAAGCAGAGTTCTGTCAACGTATTTGCGGCCAAGCGTCACTGGTCTTCCGTTTATGCTTCTTGTCCTTGTCACGCTTGTCGTGCCTGTGACGTTTATGCTTCTGTCGCCGCTCTTCCGATTTTGCTCTTCGGGCCAGCTTCCGGGCGACCTCACAATGCTTGGACTTGCATAGATGTGTGAAGAAGAACCAGGCAGAACTATGCACTGCTGTACGCCGTACGGGTTTCAAGGCTCGAGCTTTTTACTGCGAAGCTGCAAGAGATTCACGAGATAAAAGGAACGGTGGGTGCTCAGCTGGCGCGGGGTCGTTTCAGTCCAGTCGGCCGGATCAAGTGTTGAGGGGTCTTTCTTCTGCCCTGTTGCTATATGGCGGTATGTGCAATTGGCAATTGGGAGGCTTTCCACTCTGGCATGTTGCATGGTGGGCATCTGGCAGCCTAGCATCTCCAACCCCGCACGGCCTTTTCCATGCGTTTCATCGCCTTGTGCTTTGCTTTTCGCCACTTGGCAGCCTGGGACTTCATGTCCCTAATCGTCAGTTGCTGGCTGCGATCGTCGCAGCACATTAAGAGTCGCGCTGCTTTCTTTTCATCTCTCCTAGAGGTAGCATGCTTCCCCGCGAATCACTTCCAGCGATTTTGATGGCTCAGGGTCCTAGCAGCTTCCCGTTGTCGCTGCACCTGCAAGCAGACAACAGGCCATGGATCAGCAACAAGCCCGGCAGTCTACGAACCATCCCAGCCTGTTTCAGCATGAGCCGTGCTGCCTTCCGCACCGTCTTTTCATCTGCCTGCCCGAGATTCTAAGATGTTTCAGCATCAGGCATTCAGGAACCTAACATGTTGCTTGGGAAGCCCATGGAGCAGTTGCAATGCCTCCATGAAGCCTCTTCCTGCACATGAGCCCATGGCAACAAAGAACACCTGTGAGTCAAAGGGGAACCTCGTCCTTCACATCAACCTTGGCATGAATGCCGTGCGTCGGGAGGTTGCTGAGGTCATCCCCATGCTCCTTCGGGATCTCCTGAAATTGCGGGGAGATTACTGGCCGCATTTCGGGGCAGCGAACACGGGACCATTCTGCGCATGATCTGCGCACAACACTTCCTCCAATGGCTCCATCTTGGGCTGGATCTGTGGAGTTTCCTGACAGGCAAGAGAATCAAGCCTGTAAAGGAAAGCCCGACAAAACAGTCGAGCAGTGCTCTTGAAACCTTGTTACTGTTGCTGCGGTTGCTGTTAATGGGGTGCTTCTGTTGATGGTGGTGTTTTTGTTATTGGCGGTGGTGTTGTTGGTGATGTTGGTGATGTTGGAGGTGTCGTCGTCGTCGTCGTCGTCGTGGTCGTGGTCGTGGTCGTGGTCGTGGTCGTAGTGGTCGTGGTCGTGGTCGTCGTCGTCGTCGGGGGTTGTGATGGTGGTGGTGGGGGTGGCAGTGGCGGTGGCGGCGGCGGCGGTGGTGCCACTGTGGGGGGAGTGGGTGAAGCAGGGATGGAGTGGGTCGACAATGGCTTTGCAGTTCCGCATGGTTGGGCTTTTCTTCAGGTTGACATTATTGCATTCTCTGTGCAGTCGCACCCTTTTTTAGTCTCAGGCCTGTGCTTTCTCAATCACATACAGCCGGAGTGATCGAGCTACCTGCACCATGGACTGTGCTGAGTGGGCCTTGCTAGTCTCAGCAAGCCCGACAAAAGCCCATGGCCTTGTCAAGTTCAGCCTGCATCTGTCCATAGTTCACCACCTCAGACGTGAAGCAACTGACACAAAGCCTTCGCAAACCTTCATGTATTTGTGCCTTTACCGAGTTGCCACTGGGGGTCCAACAAGCTCTGGGAAGGTCGCACTGGTGAGAAGTCTGCTGGAGCCCTCGAAGATGAACTCTATCTGGACTCGATCCTCCCGCAATGCAACGAAGATATGAAGTCCTCAGCGTGTGCTATTCATGGCGATCTTCGTCAGAGGTCCTCATCCTCGGGCGCCAAACGTTCAGCAAAGATTCGCCTCAGATTCTGTCACGGTGTAGCAGGCGGGTGTAGGAGGCACGAATGTTAAACAGGTGGGGACGTCTCCATAAGAGCCCCACAAACAAGCCGCTTTGACCTGCGAAGGAAGTGGGGGCTGTAGTTGTTCGTCATGTTGGCTACGGTCATGTCAATGTGGTCTTTGGTGTCTTGCATGTTACACTGTTACACTTGCACTACCTCGTCACGTATGCGATGGGAGCGATCGGGCCTTCTGGCTGGGTTCAATCTGTGCTGAAGTGGAGCGATGAGCTTCGCTCTGCTCGAACTACAACATCAGGGGAACACCCTCGAGCTCAACCTGTCAAAATTCATAGCTGCGCAGCCTGGTCCATGGTGAGCTCAGGCACTCTGACACGGCGCACCTGACGAGTGCGAGGGCATTGCTCCTTCGACTTCAGGTGAAATGGAGGACTGGCGGACGCTGTTTGTGGGATGTGGCCTGTTGAAGTCCAAGTCAAGATATTTCAAGATGCCCTGACCAGGGTCTGTGTAGGGCTCGGGCATCGTCACCCCAGCAGAATTTCAGGAGGATGGTCATTCCCTGCAGTTCGCAACTTTTGAGGGGCAATGCTGCGGCAGCCAGCACAGAACTTCGGCAGCAAATCCACATTGGGTTGTCTTGAGCTGCAATTATGGCCATGTCAAGACCTGACTTTCTGGAAAGGAACTTCTCGCCAATGCGCTCGCGGCACGATTTCCCCCCCCCCCCCCATTTTTCACAGGCCTTGCGGCACTTCGCTCCAAGAGTCTGCCGTGACGCTCGCTGTTTTCAAGCATCTTCGGCCAGCTCCAACTATCTTTGGTCGGAAAAGCCTGAAGGCTTTCATGGGCATTATCGCTGGTCAAGCACGAATTGGTATTGCCGGGTTCCGTCTCACCGTGCCGAAGCTATACACGAAGTGGGCACTCGAGACGCAGAAAAGGTGAGAATGGCAAACGTGCACAATCGTACGCAAATCAAGCCAAGCTCACCAGATCAGATTTGGCATCTCGCTTTCTTAGAAACAGGCAAAATCAGCAAGCAAGAGAGGAGCCACAAGACAAGCAAGAGAGCGAACCACTTCAAGGATAGCTGACTCTCCTGAGTTGGCGTTACTTTGGCGTTGTTGTATTGAGCTTAGTTGGGTGCTGTCTGAGCCACTGTCTCTTCAGAGCTGCAAAAGCTGAAGACCGTGGTCCTTGGGCTTTTGGACTGAAGCCTTTTGCCTTGGCCTGGCCACGCACTATGCACCCATGCAGCCAGATGTCCCGACGCCCAAAGGAATGAAGTTCAGGGCGGAGAGCCTGCAAACTTACAAACAGTTTCTGCACATGCCGCAGCCATCAGTCCAGGGCTTTCGACAACAGGAGCACTCGAATGCGCCCAGGGACAGTGACCACCCCAGGCGCAGGCCAAAGAGGGTGAGAGGCTTCACCTTGCCTTCGAAGTCCAGCTCCTCGCCTCAGACGTAGATTTCCCCGACATTACCAATCTTGAAATGAATGCCCATTTATGTGGGCATTCAGCCTCGCTGCCTAGTTCACCTACAGGCTGTCGAGAGGCGCCTACAAGCAGACCCAGGATCTGGTCTCCATCCCCCCTCTTTCCGGGACCCCTTCTGGGAACCCCCCTTCTTGGGACCCCCTCTGGGAACCCCCCTTTTTCAAGCTGACATAGGACTTGGCTTTCCTGTGTGGGATGCGCACGTTAACAGCCCGGCCCGGCGGCCGAGGCGGCGCGCGCATGCGCGCGCCAGCGTTTTCAATTACATAATTTCAAGCGGGCAAAGTCGCAAACGGCGGCAATGACCTCGGAGCACTCGGCCATCGTCGCTGCTTCATTCCGCAGACTCTCGCATTTCCTCAGCATCCCGCAGGCAGCAACCAGTGAACAACGCACTCGGTTGCAAGACATTCCAAACATCTTGAGCCCGGCATCCTGAGCGAATCATCACCGAAGCGTCTCGCAAGCATCAGGCTCCGCTGTCGATAAAGCAGATACACATGGCGATCCTTGTTCCGGTGCACATCGGCCGCAAATCCGCCATGCCTACTCTCTGGTCTTTCCAGCCTTAGAGCCTTAGAGCTTTTTTTTAGCCACTGCCTGCTGCTGCTGCTGCCATGGGGCGAATGCAGCATTCACCTCTGCAGGGAAGCGGAAACAGTTGAGTCGCGTTTGTCTGTTTCCATGCTACGGCAGGCCTCATTGCCCAAGAAGACCATGGAGACAATGCCAGTCATGAGAAGAGCGCAGATAGCACCAGACACTGCCAATGAGGTCACGCTAACCCCGCTCAGATCGGTGTAGTCCTGCAGTAGAGCCCGGCTCTGACAGGTTGGCGCCGGTGTCTTGTGCTGCAGTTCCGGCGAACCGAAGAAATTGCCAATCAAGAGTGCCGAGAAGCGGGGTAGAGCAGCATTCCAGCTATCAGATCTCCAACGACGAAAAGCATGAGCAATAAGAACTGTGCCTGATAGAGCTCACAGTGAATTTCTGCGAATTGTGCACGTACACACACACACGTTACAGGTTGGAAGGTATACGGTATACGTGTTACAAACATATTCAAACTAGAACTGGAAATTCTTGCCAAGTCCGACCAGGATCGGTGAAGGCACGAATGCGGACATGAAAGAATTTGCCCCACTCATTGCACAGCTGCCGAAGTTTGCGCCAGGCCACAATGGTCTTCACATCCTCGGCCAACAGGCCGAGTGGAAGGAACACGTGGGGGCTCTAAGTTAAATTAGGCTCCTTCGGGCCGCTCCTAATAAAGGTGCCTATACTATGGGCGACCCTGATTAAGACCCCCTCGTGTGTGTCTACCCCTAACTTCACAGGCTGCAGGTGCTGCCATGCAACACTCAGATCGAGAATCGGAAGCATGTCCACCTGTCAGCTTACTTAGCCTTCAAACAGCATCTACATCTCTTGTCAACTGTGTCCAGTTGCTTTGAGGATTCGACCTCTGCAGGGCAGTGGCGTCGGAACTCTCGCTGCACGGACAGCATAGCAGCGCAGCTCCGCATCAGGGCACGCCTCCTGGAAGGAATGATAGGTGTTTGAAATGCCACTGCCAGATACTGCCAGGATCAGTGCGCTTGTAGCCAGTGCTAGTGCTGGCCTCCAAACATCAATGGCACCTGTGACCATGAAGATGCTGGACGACAGAAAGCCTGGACCAAACAAGCCCAACTCGACGGTCGAGCGACGTCGAGCCTACTTACATTCGATCGATCCCTTCAGTGGTCATTGTGTTTGCTTTCGTTTTTGGGGACTGGTGTGTTTCCGTGTCAGGCACATTGCTGGGGACTGTTTTGTTGCGCCTCGGGTCTCTCCTCGCTTCAGGCTTCTTTTGACTCACTTTTAAAGGCTGGTGGCCCCGTGTCTACACCGAGGCCGAGGTCTCTCAGAATCTGAATTCGACAATGACAACACGCCCCTTTTGTCGCCCAGCAGCATCCAAAGGCCGAAGGGAACATGCCAATGATCGCAATCTGAGCTCCTACACCTGCACCAGAACGAACATCAGCGCATGTTCCCTCAGAGGTGCCATGCCGCACCTGTGCCGAACATGCCGCTCCATCCGTTGCCCCCAGTCTTCAGGCCACGCACGAAAGAGGGGAGAAGCACAAGGGCAACGGTGAAGAGAAACAGCCTGAGCTCTGAAGCCGCTAGCAGCTTGCATATGCATAGTCTCTTGATTGCCAGAGATCGCCAAGAAGCGGCCGGACGAGCTTAGGGAACATCGCCCGCTCGCTCCGCATGACACCACGGAGCATGTAGAGAAACCTGAGTTCGCGAACTGCACACCACAGGGCCACCACAACCGCTCAGCTTCCTTCCTTCCACAAACCGGATCGTTGCTGGCGTCAAGCTGCAGGTCCAAACAGCAAAATTTGAAGCAAGAGATGCGCCCTTTCAAACAAATGAGTCCACGACAGATCTTGAATTGGCACCGCCTGCCCTGCGGATGCTGCCCGGAAGATGTCAAGATCGTAGTCCTGCCAGCATGCACCAGTTTGCAGACTACTGAGCGGGTCCCGCTGCTTTTTGTGATAAGAATGTGCCATTGCCATACCCTACACCCAAAGCCCGTAGACCCCTAAACCCTACACGTACCTTCTTTCATAGTGTTAGCAGGTCCTTGTTCTGATCAATGAGGCCTGGTTGTGGTATGGTGTCATCGGGGGGCAGCTGCCTGCCGGACCTCGGGGTCCGTGAGGTGCGAAACATGCCATGCCCGTACACACTCACGTATGGCTCTGCCGAACCTGCGCTGAGCATCCCATATCTGCTACGATGAACCACAAGCCAGCAATACTAGTTGTCGGGCGCACATTGTCAGAGAGGAACTCAGGCAGACTACGAAAAGCTGGAGGGTGAATTTTGGCAACCGCACGCACAGGTCCGCCACAGCCAGGTCAACTTGTTTCAAGCTTCGACATTTCGAGTTCACGTTATCCTCAAGATTTGTGTGAACTTCTCAAAGCAAATCTCTGAATTGATTGTTAATAGGCCGCAGTATAACTTCTTAAACTCCTACATGCAGCCGTCTCCCGGGGTGTATCTCAATTGTTCGGAGAAGCACCCACTGGGACTGAGCGCAGAGCTCTGCATTCACCAAGCCAGCCCCTGATGACATTGAGGCTTTTTTGGTCTGCAAGAAGCAGGTGTGGCAGTGTCACTCGACTTGTACTAAAATTAACATGCTAAAGCTGCAGACACAGCCGCTGATCTGCCCCAGATCTGTCCTCAGGAAATGCTTCGAAGCCCTTCAATTGTTTCAGCAGACTTTGGCGAGCTACTGTACGAGTACTGCTTTGCTAGCGAGTTGCACAACTTGCCTGGACTTTGCGGGGCTTGATTCTTCATATTCTTCCGTGTCATCAAACAGCCTCACGCAAACACACGACAAGCTTGTCCGCCCGGATCAAGCTGGTATCGGCACTGTTCTCATGCAGCTGTGGCACAAGATTTGTTGCTTCTCAGCCTTTCGGAATCTGCTGCTCTCACGGAGGATTCGCCCAGTGGGAGCCTTGCAGCTCCAGCTTTGCAGAAGGCATGTCGGCCGGCGAAATGCGGCGTGACGTGTTGCAACTTCGCGCAGGGGCTCGGACGTAGAACATCGTTTTGCTGGTAATGTCAACGCGCTCGCGCATCACAAAGAGCTCATGTTCAGAACGTGGCCACGGCAAGAACTTCAGGAGTGTCCGGCCTCAGTGGGCAAGTGAGATCTGAGGCGTGGTGCTGGCAAAAAGCAGTCGAAACAAAAAGCAAAACAAGCATCATCACAATGCCCCGGGGCTTCTCCGTTGGCGTGACCCAACAACAGTTACCTGAGTCTTGTATGGCAGGCGTATGCAGGCGTGTCAGGATGCAGGCAACCCCCCTCTCCAGGACCAGCTACGCCGAACAGCTAAGCCATGCTAAACCAAACAGAACTAATAACCAAACCAGCCAAGCAGCAAAAGCGACCTCTGCTTGCAGATCGAAGTTTTCTGCCGGGATGGTAAGCCAGCCAGTGAGCAAGTTCATATACCTTGGGGGGCAACATCAGAAAACTACCCTGCAGCCGCGAAGGAGTCTGCACATGTACTTGCTCGGTGAAAGAAGGGTTGAAGCGGTTTGCACATGCCACTGCCCGCAAACTTCCATCTGGATCCGAGCCACAACCTGTATTTCAAATCTACTTCTGCAGTGTTCAGCTGGTTCCAGGTCGGAGTGGATGTGTATGCATACTTTGTTGCCACGGGGAGATTCCTTAGACAAGCAGGCTCATGCTAGGATGCACATGCAGTAAGGCCAAAGTTGTCTACCGAATGTCATGAAGTTGTGCTCGAGAACAGTGGTTCCAGGTCAGCGTCCGCATCAGGAGACCAATCACAGTCAGCTTCTTTTCAATGAGTGTGACTTCATTCAGGTCGTCGAAGAAGTACATGCAAACGACAGAAGCAAACAGAAAAGCCCATGTGAGAAACTGGAAGAAAGCGGATCTGTCCAGCCCTTAGCTTTGCCCAACCCCGCACACGAATGACGACTCGAGCTCTACATTGCAGCGACATGCTGCCGTGAGGCTGAAAATCCAGAAGCCTCTGTTCATGAGACCAGTTCTGCCACCATACAGCAATAGCAGTATAGGAGTTGACAGAGGGCCCAGGACGCTGTAGAGCAATTGCCCGGCGAGTTCCTGAACTGAAGCCAGCTATCTCCAATCTATCGCCAATGTTTCAATTGACGTCAACACCCAACCTTCCACGTCCTCTTCGGCCAGAACTGAGCAAAGAGTCTATAATGAACACCCGGTAGTGGAACACCTCAGAGACCTCTGACACCCAGTTGTCCAGATCCTTGTGGAAGTCGGTCGCCGACTCTCGATCCTCGCGTAGTCTCGGATTGTTGACCACGAAGGTTAATTAGTCCCGAACACATGGTAGTGGAACACCTCAGACACCCCCGTCACCGAGTCATCCCGATCCTTGTGGGACTCCGTTGACCCGCGAATCTGCGCGCCCTGCTATGCTCTCAGAAAAGCTGTGCCACGTTGTGGTTCGGGGGCCTAAGAAAGCGTGCCTCATGGCAAACACCTTGGGGCTCGTCCGCTTGGACCGGCTGCTGTTCCACCAGTTTAGGCATGTCCTCGTTGCTTACTCCTGAGCCACAAGCGCAGGGGCAGATTTTATTGCAAACAGTCGAGACCTAGACGCCCGCCTGGGACCGCAGCAACAGCAACTTCCAGACTGTCCAGGCCCTGGACATGCACACAGAACAACGCGAGGCAGCATGTCAGCGTGCGATGCACCGATTGCTTATGGCCTCAACGGTCTGGAGCTCTGCATGTTCTTCTGAGCAGACGCACTGTGAGCAGCCTGAGGTATCTTTGCTGTGGGAAGGGAACAGCGTGCACACATTGCAACCCGACATCAAGCAGCAAAACTGCTGAATCTGAACTACTGCCGATTCCTTCCCACGATACACCAAACTCAACCTGCCCAGATGTGGCCTTGCGGAAACAGCACTGGATGAGCCGACATCCCTCGCCATTGCTGAACAGCACACAAATGCCGCTTCTTATGGCATGGACTTTTTCTTAGTGATCCACTGAACTGTGGGCCAGGCTACGATTTCACAAGGCTACGTATATAACAGAGAGAAGCAAGAATGCTTGAGCGTCCGATGAGTGCGCCAGAGCTAGTTGAATATGGCTCCGGGTGTGCACTGATGCCGCTTCATGTGGGTGATACGCTGCGTCGGGGTCGGGAACGTATACCGGATGGCAGGTCCAGATTTTTCCGCTTCCAACACGACCACGGTGAGGTTCTCTGCCATCAGCCGTGTGGTGCCCTCACCCCTCGTCTCCCCTATCTACTCGGGCCTGCGCATCGTCTTGGTGTGTGGCCGTCATCTCGGGCGAAGGAACGTGCCGTATGTACAAAATATGTACAATCACAGCTCGTCATCGCAGCAAACGAACAACGGGACCTGACTCCGATGCCATGGATAAACCAGGACCACCCTAAACCCGAGCCCAAAGGAGAAAGAATGCCCAGGCCGGCACACAAGTTATCGCACCCCAGCCTTGAGTTTGGTGCTCAGGGCTAGAGAAGTCAATGCCAGTACTTCTGCATTGGGTTTTTTGAATGCCAACGAGCAGCCAAGAACTGTTGGCACACCGATCATGAAGTAGACCAGCACAGACTTCCTGAGCAGAAGCGAACCTCCTGTCACTGGCAAAAAACTGGATCAAACTACTGCAATCCCAGTGCCAGGTCCTCACACGTAGCCACTCAGCTGCTGGCAGATGCAGCAGTAGTGCTGACAGCATGCACATCGCCGTGGAGAATGGCAGGATCTTGGTAGGAATCCGCCAACACCCGCGAACTTCGCGAACCCATGAACATGAGATCTTGGGCTCAGAGCCATCAGAGCCTTGAGCCCTTAGAGCCCTTGAGGCACCCGCGCTCACCGAGACCATCACGAAACGAAAGAAGCACAGCACACACTCGTCCTCACTGTCGTAGCCTCCCAGAGCGCTCCTACCTCCATTCACGTGGCGGATCTGGAAGTCAGGATTAGTCATTAGTCCTTTTTCTGATTAGGCCTGGCCTGGTTTCAACCTGGCTTGTAGCAGGAACTGATTGGCGACAGCACTCAGCAGAGTGAAGAGGCACACCTGCTCAAGGACATGAGTCAAGGGCTTTCCCTCGGTGGCCCGCTCGCTCCAAAGTGCACCCAGTGTGCACCACATGAGGAAAGAGCCAGCATGTTGGTGGAGTGCAGCGGGTGCTGATCGTCGCCTTGCGAGGCACGAAACTCAAGGCGCCTGCGATTCTGGGGTCATCCAAAATTCAGGTTGCCACGTTTTCCCACTTAAGCAATCTATGTCCGCAGCAAACTCCCAGAGCCTCCCCCCTCCTCTCCCGACTCCAGCCCTAAGCCCTAAAACGTCATTGACTACCAGTCGTCGACAAGGAGGGCAGCTCATGGTAGTCTGTCCGCACTCAGGCCCAGGCAGTGACTCGGATGGAACAGGCACATTTGACAGCGAAGTCCGTTTTCAGCGTACCTCAGCAGGAAAATCTCGACTTCATCTTATGCAGCATCGAATTGTCTAGGGATTCTGGGGCGGCCTGCACCAAAAAGTTACCGAGGACTCGACCAAGCATACAAGTAGGCTGCAATGCACATCCTCAGCCAGCATGGGGCTTGCGCCGCTTGCACTTGTCCCCCCCCAAGGCTCAGCAAAGGAAGGTTCAAGCACGGAGCTGCTGCGGGAAATCCTGCACGAAGAACTTGAAAACAATCCTAGGGGGACCAAGGAGGCCGCAGCAGAGTTCCGGATGATTGTTCAAGAAAACCATGTAACCCAACTACCTGCAGTTTTGTAGCAATTCCCCCTTCAATAAATAGGAATAACCCATATAACTGTAGGCAATTGGGGTTAGAGGAAGAGGCCCAAGTGTAAAGGCGAGGGGCACGCGGCTCAGAAGCTTGCCAGTGTCGACCTACAGCCGTCGACAGCCGGACACGAGACTGCCACTGGTCCAAGCACCTTTTGAGCCCCAGGCAAACAAGAAGAAGCGCCGCAACACCTTGGAATGCAGTATGTTGCCCCCTCGTTTCCCCTTCAGAGAACGACCTTCAGTTGAACAGCCTACTGCGGTTAGTCTCTGAGTCTCCGACCACTCCAGCCAGGAGGAGCTGAACCTCGCACGTTGAGATTGAGTGCCTGTGCTAGACCATGCCATCGTCCCCGAGAGCTGCACCAGAAGGAAACAGCCTGTGGCAGACTCTGTAAAGGAGAGAACCTGCAGGAAAGCATGGGTGAAACTGCCATCGAAGAAAGCAAAGCCAAGCTCATACTGACCAATGAAAGTGATCTACAAGCGTGTTACAACCCGCGTGCCCTGTGGTGTCGCCCCTGCCCGCGCTCGCTGAAGTTCTGCCTGCTAGTGTGACTCTGGCCAGTGTTCGTTTCGTGTGTGAAAGTGCAACCATGTCCATTGGATCGACCACAGGGCGGCAAAGGGAACATCCAGAACAAGAGCGGGATTCTAGCCGTACTACGTATATCTACGCATGCTGTTTTCGGAGATTCGGAAATTGTCGCAATGATTCCCTTTCCATTGGGCACAGCAGTGGCACAGCAAAGTCCCCTTGGCAGCGAGCCAGCTGCCCTCAAAGCTGCACTGCTTCTGCTGATGGATGTCCTAAGCTGAGAAGACGTGCATGCCCAAACGCCCCAAACGGCGGCCTTAATCGCTTACGCACCTCGAGGTGGGCAATGCGCGAGTCCACGACAAAGATGTCAATTCGCGCCTGTCCAACTAGATCGATCGGTATGGTGCACAATGAAGACATCACGAGGAAGTCTTGATAAATCATGCGTGTTGTGGCTTTCTGGCCTCGTCTGAGTACTTCGATTTCAGATTCACGGAGCCTTCCCAAGCAGGCTCCTGGCGAAACCATCTTAGCAACTTGCTCCAAAAATTGGTGGTAGAAGCGAGGAGATGCAAGAATTGCTTGCACGACCCGAAGCTTAAAAAAGCGCAGCGGCACAACGGCAAACTTCTTATCAGCATGTGCAACAACCTAATGCAGCGACAAGAAGTCTCTGGCTGAAGCGTGGAAGTACTACCTCTCTCTTCTCCGTGACAACTTGGTACCTGCCAAGTCTGGCGCGTACTTACGTTATTTTGATTCTGGGACTTTTCTCAAAGTAGGCAAAGAGGCCTGCTGCCCCAGCCATGGCTGAGCTGGCTCAGCGAAGAACTTGGCCAGTAGCCTGGGTCGAAGCACTAGCTAACAGCCGCTATGGCATGTCAGATGTATAATCGATTGAAGGCGAGCCACTCTTCCCAGCCGGATGAAGGCTAACCTCCACATGATCCCCCGTGCTGTGGAGGCATGAAGCCGATCTCAATGCGAGTAGCGGCCCTAGCCAGATTTTGACTCCCTAGTGGCTTACTAGGGAACCCATGTCAATGCCAGCAGAGCCTGCCATTGAGCGCCGGCATGCGGCTGCTGCGGCTGTATCTCAGGACTGCCATGATGCAAATATGTCACATGCAAAGAAAGGTCGTGCAGTTCATTGGGTGCATGCACCCCGAGGAGGAACGTTGGTGGATGGGACCTTGACAGTGACGTACTGAGAAAAAACAGACTGCAGCTGTGCCATTCTGGCTCAGGTTGCCGCGCGGTTCTGAATGAGAACGACTGAGTTTTCGGTATCACGTAGTCGAAGTCGGCCTGATGCTGGATACTCTAACACTCACCCACGACTCATGCCTGCAATGGGCTGTGCGCAGCTGTGCCAAGGCTGCTGAGATCATGATCTGGCACTTCGCACACTGGCACACCCTTTTCAGGCACCACTAAGGCCGATTGTCTCACTTGTAGATTCGCCACTCTCACTGACCATCATTGGTGGCCGCTGCCGTACTGATCTGCCGCACAAAGGAGGAAAGCCTGTCGCGTTCGTACCACTCGCAGAGACTGCGGAGTCGACTCTCACACGGAGCAGGAAGGAGCAGGAAGGCATAACTTCGATGTCGGTGTTGCAAGCAAACGCATATTTGTCCGTCGCCGACTGTCGTGCGTTGGGCACAGGAGCCACGCAGGCATCTGACCGCCTTTGGGCGGCCTGGACCTGAGGCAGTGAGACGCAAAGTGCATGCCTGCACATCAGGTGCGTGCGCTATTCCGAATTCGATTGTAAGTTTTTGCTTGCTTTGCCTCCTACCACTTCCATTCCAATCAAGGAATGCGAAGAGATCATTGGGTGTGCATGTTAAGAGGCATGAGTGTGGGAGAGAGAAAGAGAGAGAGAGAGAGAGAGAGAGAGAGAGAGAGAGAGCAAGAGAGAGAGAGAGAGAGACAGCAAGAGAGAGAGAGAGAGATAACAACAAAACAAAGACTCAAAGCAAAAGATGGACAGTGTAGTACTTTCAAAGTTCTACCATGCTGTGCGTTTGCCGAGGGCGTTGCTCAGCTTAGCTTCCCTGGCAAATGGCAAGGCCGGGTACATGGATCCTCGACCCGACGATGAGGAGAAACCTGGAGCCCCTGAAGAGAACATGCGATACAGCAATGAACCCCCTCAGCAAAACTGAGCAAAAACTCACAAAGACAAGACTATCCCTCAAACTAGTGCAGCTCGGAAGCATCTGTACAACCCGCAATCAAAGCATCTTCGATGCAGCGCGAGAGTGGTGCACAAACGAATTCGTTCGTAATTGTCGTTAGGTTGAGGACTGGCTCCAGGCACCTGTCGGTGTGAGCATGCTTGGAGAGAACCCATTGGCCCATTGGGCATGACAACGGTTGATTTCAGCCGTATGCTGACAAGCTGCTTATCAACAGGCAATGGGAAAAGTCCACGAACTTCAAGACAGTCAATAGAGTTGAATTTTGGCTTTTCGATGAGGCAGATAATGAAAACTGGTGTGTCTTCCGCGGGACTCGGGACATGTTTTTCAGGCATTTTCGCATGAAGCACGTTCACGCACTACGCTTGAAGTCTTAGGCAGGTGTCCCGTGAGGTTTCGAAACGACAGTCGATGTTCAAATTAGATCTTGTATTCTGTAGGCTCACCGCTGTCCATACAGTTGCGTGAATTGCGTTAAGGTTTATAGGGGTTTATAGGGGTTTTGGCAGGTCTGCCCCACCAGCCCCTCAGCTTCGGGTTGTTGGCTTCGGCTCGTTGGCTACAATGGCTAGAAGAAGCGAATCCCATCCCTTCCGCGGAGCTTCCCAAGGCTGTCCGGTGCCGGCCTGCCGACTGCAGGACCCACACCCGCAGCCCTCATGACCACACGCAATCTGCAGTCACAAACTGAAGCCCCACAGTTGCAGAGGAGGCTTACGACGTTGTTGGGTAACTGGTTGGTTGACGTTCACGTGTGGCGTCTACCCGTCGTTGGTTTGCTTCCACGCTTTGTGTCCGTTAGGGATTCAGGATGCAATCGTGGGCAAAGCACGTCGCTGTGCTAGATGTTGCGCGTGTGTCGCACAGTGCCCAGCCTCAGCTCACCTTGCCTTCGATTTCAAGGTCTTCACCTTGGGCAGATGCCGGCATCACAACATACCATGCTCGTTGCACGTCAGGTAGAAGCAACACGATGTGCAGTCTCCCTGAAACCTTGTGGCATCTTGCGGCCATGTTGCCCCTGGCAGGATCGATGCGCTCAACTCCGAGACCTCCAAGATTCGCTGGGGCGAGAGGTCTGGACTCATTGGACTCTACTGGTGAGGCAAGTACAGAATGCGTCTTCGGATTGACACCCAACGTGCGACTACACAAGTTGCTGCAGGCTACAGCCAATGTCTGGAACCAAGACTGGACATCCTCATCCACCGGACACGCCACAGGACAGGCAGGACAAGCTGAAATCACACAGCAACTCGACGAAAACAACGACTGGGCGAGTAAATGAGCTAAATGTCGCAGGTGAATGTACGGCATGGATGGACAAGCTTCGCTGAGAAGGCTCATTCCTGGACCATTTGGAATCTTATGTTGCAAAATCATAAGCCAGATCTGGGAGTTCGATCCAGGAGAGTCATTGGTGACTTCGGATACGAACTGGTGTGGCATGCCCACATAGCAAGCCTCGAAATAGCTGCCACGCTTGAGGAAGAGGTCTGCAAGCCACAGCCACGATGCTGTTTGGACGGCCTCGCTCAATTTCAGCCCAATCCGCCGCAATCCTCCACGAGCTGCGAGTCCGAGCGGCCGAACAAGGACCACTCAACGACTCAGGTCTCGGCCAGCAGCGTCGTCTGCAAGATTGGATGTTGAAGATAGGGCGCAAGTACCTTCACGCGTCCGAAGAAAGTGTTCTATCGGTTTTTCCGGCAGCGTGTCAGACTGTGCTCTCGACACAGACAAGACATCAAAGTGTAAGCAAACCAGCCAAAACACAAACATAATCGTCATTGATTACTGTAACTGTATCTTATCTGAACCCTGAAAGTCGCGAACAGGCCTGAATCAGCACGAAGATAATGGGAAATGCCAGGAAGTACGCCGACCCAGCAATCTCGAACAGTTGCAAAAAGTTCTGGAGCTTCATGCCACCTGCAATCAGCATCTATCAGTAAAGGTCATGCACTCGACGCCATGGCAAAGGGGATGGCAAAAAGGGGTGGTCCCTCTAGTCGCGCGACCAGATCAAAGCACTCAGGCCTGATGTTCGCAGGTGCTGGATGCCTGAATCACGGCCAAAAAAGCCCGCGGAGTTTTGTGTGTGTTGAGATGTTTGAGGCTGCTTTTGAGGCTGCTTGCCACTGAGAAGCCGCTACGAAACCAGGCGAAGAGACTCAAGCGAACGGTAAGGAGGATCCAGCCAACGAGGCCTTCGTTCTCGTGGTACTTGAAATCCTCATGCACGTCGTCTCACAACATTTTGCCAAGTACTGGCCAAATTCAATCTCTGCACTGAGACCACTCCTCGGCCTGTAGCTTTCCCATCGCTACCAACGCCACATGCAACATCGTAATCACGGTCACCACGGGGACCAGTAGCTCAACCTTCGATAACAGAGTTGATCTTGCATGCAACATCCATGACAACGGCAACTAGGCCGTTATTCCGGTTTGGTAGCCCCTGCCTCGCTCAACTTTGAGCGAACCAGGGTATAGCCCTGAGCTATTGCCTGAGTGCTTGGGCATGGTACGAGGTAGACCAGGTAGACTTTTTCTGACTTCGTTTAACCGCCGACTCCATGGTTGAGGCCGAGGGCAATCAACAAAGATGCGCTCGCCACCTCGGGCAGATTTCTACATCATGGAGCTAGATCCGAAGATCGCGCAAAAGGCTGCTGATGTCTTTGTGAACTCAGGGAATAGCCTGGCTCAACATGAAAAGCACCTCCGCGAGTCCATCTGCAGCTGGCAGACCCTGACCTAGAGTGACCCACGCTTGCATGGCCGTGATGGCGGCAGTCAGACACCCTAAAGTTGACCCCTCCGACAACTGCTCCGATGTTTCCTTGAACTGCACCCAGCACTTCCAGGGCTGGGCCGTGGGCCGTTCTTCTTGTAGGTCAAGAGGTGCAGCAGATGAAGTGCCTGAACTCTTTGCTAGCGGCCCTTCCCTCTATCGGCCTTCCGTCCACATCTCGGCGATTACATTGTGCCTGTGAAGCCCAGTGGAGGCTCACAGCGAAGAACAAGCCACGAACTACGGGATGAAGCCGACCTGGCACTGGGCCGAAAGGCGTCTCTGGGCCTCGAATACTGGAGCCCTCTGCCCAGCGGCCCAGCCTAGGCTTTGGCGAAGGGCCCGGCTTCTCGCCAGGAACCAGCATGCCATCACCGAGAGCATCAGCAGGACCAACGCTGTTGCAGTTGGCATGTACCTTGAAGCGGCTTGCGATGTGCTGGGCTGCCTGAACCATCAAAAAACTGCCATCCGGGCCTCATTTCTAAGCTCAGCTCTGAGTCATCGAACTGCCTGGGTCACTCATTTCGTCCATCTTCATCTCACGAGGTGAAGAACGACTCGCTTGCTGAAATCCCAAGCTGCCTCCAGCGAATCTCGTAGTCCACTGTATAGCCTTGGCACTGCCGAATGTAGCGGTGGATGCAGAAAAAGCTGAGCTTACATGGAGACATGATGCCAAGCTGCTAAAACTCCGGTCTCCGGGCATGCCCCGGGCAATCTGATCTGGACAGTCAGAGAGAGCCTTGCAAAGGGGCATGCTCCAGCGAATCGCTTGACATCACGGGAGGTGCACCCGGCATCTTCAGTTGCACGCTCTTTACACCGGCAGGCCGAGCCACAAAGTACCAGATGTGAGGCCGAATTGTTTGATACCTCATGGTCCGCAGTGTTGCCCGGCACTGCCTCGCCCCCTACCCATGTAGGACGTGTCTAAGGGCAAGGCAACATTCCGACTTCCCACGGGCCCCACTCACCATGCCTTGGTGCCGATTGAAGCATTCCAGGAGGCCCCCGCAGATTTGGCCAGCCATGTGCAGTCGAGCGTCTGCCCTGGGACGAGCATTCCGTGAGTCTTCCTTGCTGGGACGTCCTAGCAGGTGGCTCAAGGCTCAAATCATCCTATACCGTGCATTTTGCCCCAACACTTGGCAGGCCTGCGCACGCTGGCAGGCCGAGAATTTGGCCTGCTTCGGCCAATCCTCATCGAGGAAGATCTCCAAATCTGGTCTAGGCAAGACCTCGGACTTTCTCAATGTCCACCCCGTTAGCTTTTACGCGTGGGGAGGGCGCTGAGAGCTTCTCAGGTCAAGGCCTGGTCTTCATGCAAGATGTTGTGAAGCCTGACATAGGGATGCATCCTATAATAATCCTACTGGGCAACTGCAGGATCTGCGCATCTCTCGCAGCCTGCCTCAGCCGAATTTCATACCGGCCCGTGCCGATCGCCTGTGAAGGTCGGGCGAGAGCCCAAGCACCGCTGGAGCCCAAACACCCCTGTGAGCAACCCAGAGCCCGGCGTAACCAAACTTGCCTGAGCGAAACGCTCCGCAGCTCCAAATTCAGAAGCAATGACATAAAACGACAGAGTACCAGTACAATGATGAGATTTCTTGAGGCACAGGCTATAGGCCAGCCAAAACATTATTTTAGCGCCCGGGATGCGCATTTTGTGCACATGGGGTAAGAACCCGGGTTTTTGCACAAAATACATGGGTTAAGTACCCGAGCTTTTGGAGCACAAGGGTTTCGCACATGGGTTTCGCACATTTGGTACACATTGTATGCACCCAGCTTAAGCGCCTGCAATGCATGTGCCGAAAAATGCTCCAAATGTGCTTGCGTGATCTTGCGTGTGTTTGCTGAGCCGCCAAGTTGCTTAACACATGTGCTGAAAATGTACCCCCCCCCAAGGTGCTCAACCAATGTGCAAAGACTGTGCATATGATGTGCTGAACATTGTTTTCAAGGACCTATAGCCTGTGCCTCACAGAAAATCTTCTGACAGTACAAACCCTGGCAACCCTTACAGCATCGTACGGCCCCATGACAAGGACAGGCTCGGCTTGAGAACGAAAAATGCAGAATGCCGGCGAAAGAAATCAAAGCCCAAGATGCCAAGGAATCTCCACTGCTCTTGCTCTTCTGCAGCTGACCCTCCGAATGTCAATGTCCCTGATTGCACTTTGCCTCGTGGACAGAGTGAACAATGCATGCCCGCATGCACGTCCTTGGGTTTGTGGTATTTGCCGGGTCGCACTCGGCGCACATGAAGCGCATCACCAGCACCCCTACCAGTAAGGAGCGCTGGGCGCCTTGGCAAGGCCGCCGCGGCTGCTAAAAATGGTCGGAATCTGCCGCAGCTGAGGGCGGGACGGACAGACATGGCACCTGTGTGCATAGCAGCCATGCAGCAAACGGCTAGGCTGATGTTCTGAACAAAGCCAAAATGGCTAAGGTTGTGGATGCTGGCAAGCTTCAAACTTAACTACAGCCCCGCACCACTGCATACGCCCGCACCGCCAAGCGAAAAGGTCGATTTCTAATTCCTCGTCAGATGTCTCTTTTGATCCCAAGGGGTCACGCATACTCAGCCGCACGGCACGCATCCCCTCGCTTTACTGGCACCATGTGCACCACAAGCCGCCCATCACGTGAAAGTGATCACCTGGACACCATGGCAGAATTGAAGCGACTTTGGGATGCAAATCATGAACTGGCCAACCTGAGCTCATGTCTGGACCTTGCAGTCTTTCTACGCATCGACTCTGTGCATGTGGCACATTGTGGCACATGCCCGGCTCCATGCTGCGTTTTACTCTGCTTCCTTTTTGCGTCCGCTGATGCTGTACCACGGTATATTCGGGAAAAGTGCGACAAATGTTGAGACACATGAGGCTTTGCAAAGCTTTCCATCAACTCCGGGGCTTCAAAGTCTCGTGTCGTGTCAAAAGATTAGCCACATACATCAAAACTTCACGCTCGAGTCCGCTAGAGATCGCTCAAGTCTATAGAGGCACTTCCTCATGGTATCCGCGGGCGCTGGTGAAGTGGTTCGTGTTGTTGCCTCGGGTGCAAGTAAGTGACACGCCTGAATCACTCTATCATGCCGGTGTAGACCCCAAAGAGTGGAAGAATGTGGAAATGTTCTTTAGACAGGTACAGTATGGTACATTCGACACAACTTCGCGAAGAGCTTGCGCGCGGGACCAGGGCAGGAGCAGGAATGAAAAACATTCCGAAGTGCCCTGGCGCACAAAGCGGACCCGTCCAAGAGAAGCCGAGGCCGGAAAGGATGGCTCTTTTGCCACTATCACATTCGAGTCACCTCGATCGCTGGGTATCTAACGCGAGACGGGCGCCTAGGCGGAGGCACGATTTCGACCTAAATGTGCGCCGAGCCTGGGAAAGAGTCTCATGCCGGCCCGTACATGCCAAGCACGTCCGTACGCCAATGCTCACGCAGTACCCGGTCAGAACATTGCTCGGATATCATTTGCAGCCCTAGGGAGCCCCAGCAGCGGAGATGCGGCTGAGATCCAGACGGTAGAACTCAGCTCCAAGCCACAGCGTGCTCAAACCCAGTAGCTCGGTGCTCAGGTCAATCAACGTAATGTAGCTTGACCAGTTCTTGCCAGGATCCACCATTGCCTTTCTCATGTTGGTGTGCAACACTTCCGGTCCGTGCACCAAAACAAGTTCCGGGCCTTGCGCCAGAGGACATGGTAGTCGGTCCCAGGAACTGGGATCACCGACTCGCCGTTCGCCATCATGTGCAAGAGGTGTCCCTGCCACATCCACTACACTGCTACATGCTTTGCGACATGTGCCCTGCCATCCCTGCCAAGGGCGCCTTGATGACCTCAGGAGATGCTGGCAGCCAGCCGGCAACTGCCTCTGGACTCCAAGTGCGGCAGTCGGCTTTAGAAGCATTGTCGGTGTACCTGGGCAGAAGAATATCTCATCACGTTTTGCACCCAAAGAATGCCTCGCTAATCTGCAGCACTTAGCCCAGCGGCATGTCGGCGTTGTACTCTTTCCCAGAACACCAAACAATGTCAGGCCCAGCGCCAACTCCATAGCGATCTGAACCTCCGTAGAACACGCTGCCTCAGACGGCACATCGCACATCTCCGGAATTCCGAAATGTAGCAAATTTGGCACCCCAGCGATTCATGCAGGGCACTGTTATAGTTAGCCCAGTCAGCGAGCCATCCCTCCTTGAACCTGGGCAGTGTAATCCCAGAGCAGATCATGTTGCAAGGTCATGAGACCAGAAGTGGCCGCAGAAGCTGAGCTGCGAACAGCTTCAGGAAGGACGGAAAGGAATTCACAGGATGCGTGGTGTAGTATGGAATTTGCAGGACATAGGATGACCATTTGGATAGCAGTGGGTACCCAAACATCTCAATGTTTGGATGAAGAGCACGTCCAACAACGCGGTTCCACATGGTGTGAATAGCCGGCATCGAACAGTATTCTTGACCTCGATGTCCACAAACCTGGCATCGATGAGGTACGAGAATTCTCAGAACAAAGCCATACCTCCAGGAAACTTGGGGGCCCGGCCCTGCGGTCGGCAAGCCATGCAGCAGTGATCTCTTCAGTGAAGGGATAATAGCCATCAGCCTGTCAGGGACCACGCGTAATGGCGTAATGTTGCCAGGCCATGCCACTGCAAGTCCCACCGCCATGTTCATGCTCCCCCAGCCAGCGCCTCCGGCCAAACAATTCCTTCGCACATGCCCTGATTGTTCATAAGCATTGGGATGCCAGTGCCATTGTACCCCTCCACGACATTCTTAGCATCCGCACGCTGCACTTGGGGGTGAGGGAAGCTAATGCAGAGATTCCAGGGGTGCATCGAGAAGCTGCATCTAGTTTTGCCATGTGTAATGAGGTCTAAGTCTAAGTGATGAGGAGAGTATTCCTGAGGCACGCCCAGGCCACCAGCGGCAAGCGAGCATTGGCTCAGATTCAGGCTTCGGGTGTATGATCCTGGTTGAAGGATGATGGCGTTTCTGGTGCGGTCTGGGTCTCCTTCCATCTCAGAAATGCCCAGAAGTCTCTGCAAAAATCCTAGACGATCCCCACCTCCAGATTTTTTGTTTCTTGCTGTGTTCTTGGAAATGGTCTTTGGAAAGAGGGAACATTGCAAGAAGGCAAAGACAGAAAGAAAGAAATAACCCTAAGCCCCAACCTCTTTGTTCTTGAAGAAAGTCAGTGCGGCGCCAGCACATTGTGGCGACTAAACGCTTTTTGTGCATCCAGGCCTCTGGTCCGATAGGCGGGTACACAAGCTGCACCCCACAGCAGCAACCTTTAAGAGATCCTGAACCCTTTTTCTGCTTCCTGGCCATCATACATTTAAGGCTTGCTTTGTGGCAATCATGTTCATTCTTGACTACTAACACTGGTCACGGTCTTCGCTTATTCATGTCTTCGTTATCAAACTTCTAAGTTGTGTGCTTTTGATCATGTGTTGTTGTCTAACTCAGTTTACGTGATCTTCATTTTATGTGCTGCATAATCCGTTTGGCTTCCGGATGATTAAACATGCGATATCTTGCGCAACCGTAAAGCAGCCATGGCTATAGTTTAACCAGAGTAAGATGTGCTAAGTTAAGACCTGTCTCACGGGATCTGTAAGGTGAACTGTACATAAAGCGCACTACGTTGTATATACTGCCTCCTTGCCGATGCAAAAGTACCCTGCAACACCTTGCACTTATGCGTGCACAGCATAAATTGGCATGCGTAATAGAACTGTATAACAAAGCTGTGCATGGAACACCAAGAACTCATGACAGCATATTTTTTAGCGCAGGAGCGTTATCAACTGCCTTTCTCATACATGACCTGAACAAAATCTTCCCCCCCCCCCCCCGGCCCCCGGGTGAAACAAAGGTAACCGACTCCGAACCCACTTCATTTGGGCGTCATCACATGCACTCTCGAACGAGCGCGACACGCGACAACGAACGAAGTATGAGCACCGCATCACCCTCAGATCTCCAAGAAGGGTCATGTGTGTGATGTCACAAACAAGACGTGGCGCTGCCAGACCCTTGTTCGAGAACAAGTTACTGTTACTTTCCCGAGCACTTCACCGAGCACTTCACCAAAATGAAAACATAATTCATGTCTTGATAACTTTTGATAACGATACAGGATTAACAAATGCGTCGTAAAATAAGACACCATCAATACCAACTGATGATGCAACATCCGAAGCATCATCCGCACTTGTAGCACAGTCAGTGTGACATCATACTACAAAGCATATACTATCAAGGCGGCGGCAGGGGGGCGGCGGCGGCCGGGGCAGGCGGGACAATGGGTTCAAGGACACGTCATTTCGTGGCACGACCCCCGTTGGCCCCCCCCACCCCACAGGATCTATCGCATTCGTAATCGAACTTTAGAGGCCAGCTTTCGTGATAGCGATCACCCCGTCGAGTTATCAAAGCTGAGTCTCTGTGGAGGCATAGGCTTGCAGGCACAGCATGCTGTGCCAGTCCACTTTGTCCATCAGCCTCATACTTCCAGGCTCAATTTTACGCAATGTAGCACTCCTCTTAGCCTTGCATGCAGTGCTGGCATATGCTGCTGTCATCAACACGGCGTGGCGAGGCACGTTTCGGTCAGCCTCACAATCAAGCCAGAAGCTTCCGACTGCCTGCGTGCAAGGCACGGCAGATACTTGCGCCGCACGCGTACATTGTCACAGGATTGATGCAAGTCCCAGGCACTGAATCCGCTTGTTCAGTACATATGTCTGCACAAACATCACCTCAGCATTAGGCCCCTCTGGTTTGACGCCTCGCTCTCTCACCCCCTCAGCAATGTCGACACCAGGGCACTCCAACATAGAAGAGGCCAGTTGACATAACTGACCAAACACCGTCTACTTTGTCCCCGGCCTTGGTCACACCATGTGTGTCTGTCTCATATGAAGAATTACTGGATGCCCTGCCTCTGCCAGCAGTGCCCCCGTTGCCTCTTCGAAGTAGCGAGGGACCCAGCCCCTCGGCCCCCGAGTGAAGTTCCAGGAGAACCCAGCTTTTGCTGGAGGTGGAATATTTGCATAGGATGACAATGTCAAGTTGACGCGTTCGAGGAACTCCTGCAGTCCAGCCCACATCTTTTGGCAGACAGACAGTAAGTCTTAGCGACCGTGCCTGGTTTGATATCCAGCCCATGGCATGCGCCACGCACTCCATAATGAGTCCCATCCCAGTCGTGTCCGATGAGCCCAACTGCGCCTCAGCTGTGGCTCACCCTTCCTGACGCTCCAACTCCAGGCCCCCGGCAAGCCTTCCCCGTGTCGAGGTCGATGTGATCGGTGTAGCCTTGGCGGTGCACAAAGCAAACAAGCTGCTGCAGTCTATGCATGCCCACACCTGGAGGGTTCCCTGCTAAGCGGCAGCCAGAATAATCGTTGCGGGATCTTCGCCAGACTTCGTAGTTGCCGCGCGCCAGATTCTTGAAAGCATCGTCGGCAGTCATGCATGTTGTCTGCATGCAGGGGCCGAGGTCGTCGGTCGTGTTGACCCGGAGCGGAACCTGGCCTGCAGGGCAAGGCCCTGCTGTGGATGCACAAAGTCTCCAGCAGTTGCCACCGAAGAAGGACTTATCTTTCCAAACCTCAGGGGGCAAACGAAATGGCAAAGAACGTGTTCCAGCATGGGGGGAGTCCGGCCTTGCCCTGGATGATCGCCGTCTGGCATACGTGCCTTCCAACACCAATGTATCCTTCATTGCACTGATAGGCGCATTCATCTCCAAGCTTGCTGGCCATGCACTCGTTCCCAGGCCCTCTGTTGGAGAAGGGGATCTGCTGACCAGCCAAGCACACGGAGACCGGCTTAGGAGTCGTTGTGGGCTCCGCCGTGGGCTCTGCTGTGGGCTCTGCCGCAGGCTCTGCCGTGGGCTCTGCAGGCTCCGCCGCCGGCTCCGCGGTGGGCTCCGCCGCCGGCTCCGCGGTGGGCTCCGCCGCGGGCTCCGCCGTGGGCTCCGCCACGGGCTTTGCCGCGGGCTCTGCAGTCGTGTCGGCCGGGACATCCCCTGGAGTTGACGGTGTCGGTGCAGGCGTTGCTGGCAGTGGAATGTCGGGTGGCAGACTTGCTATGGCCGCGGAGCTATTCGAGGTGTTACGCACCTGCATTGCAGGGAAGTAATTGGGCGACATGTTTCGTCAACTTCAATGCTGGGCAGCGCACCTGGAGGGCTCGCCGCTGCAGGGCATTTAAGTGGCAGGCCCCTGAATCCACCTCCGAGCAGTCGTCATCACCTTAGACGAAGATCACTTATTCCAGCCCGGGCTGCAAAGCTCCGCAGGAAACATGGTCCGAAACATGGGCTACATCGAGCTCGCCTTTTTTGTCCGACCCCCCTCTCGGTCTTGAAATGCTATACCCCACAGCGCCAGTAACGTGCTGACTATTTGGTGCAGCCAAGCTGCTCGCCAAAGCAGGCGAGACAGTGTCCTGAAAGTTCCACTGCTAGCCACTGCTCAGCTAACGTTTCTTCAAGTATTCATGGTGGCTGCTCTTCTCACTACTATTCCCTGCAGGCATCGCTGCCTCCGGTAGTGTGCTGGAGGCAACAGAAGTAAGGGCCACCCATGCCAGTCTCCTGAGAGCCATGGCACCTGCGAAGGCCGCAGTTCCAAAGCTCTGCGAGGTGAGGTCTTGCGGCGTCAGCAGGCCTGCGTCCTCTCTTGGCGGAATGCCACTCTCTTTGGAGCAGCCAACGTTAACGCTTTGATTGTACGGAAGAAGAGTCTTGGGCCATCAGCAGCAGCGCCACATGCGTGTGGCGAGTCGTGTCTCGCTTTCGGAACTGGCGCACCCAACAGCATTTTCCTTATACTCTTGTTCTTACCCTTTTCTCAGGCCTTGCAGACGGCGATGGCAGCAAGGCGCTGGACGGACATGGGCAGCCCAACCTCCCTAAGTCGATAGTGTCCACGCTCTGAGCCGGTTCTGAAGTTCTGGGTCGACTGAAGTCCAAACATCCTGTGCTGAACTTGCAGTTCTCCGCATTTGCAGGTTGGGATGTTTCCCCTTACTATAGTAACAGTCCTTAAACGGAACTATAAAAGGGGTAAGGACTGTTAGCATAAGGGAACATCCCAACTTATAGGAGCTCAAACGGCAACGATAACGTGACTTCTGAGCCCAGCCATCGACTCACGTGAACAGGAGATGCTGAGATGCGGCCGAAACAAGGATGCACCTCATCGGCGGATTGCAGCCTTTTTTTCTCCTTGAATCTTTCAGTGCACCTCTGAAACGTGCGGGGACTGATTGTTCTGCTTGGCAGAGAGAAGTGCGAATCCTCGGGCGGGGATTGTTCTAAACTCGATAACTCTGTACTGGGACGACCTAGCCTTCCGCCCAAACTTACACGGCTTCCACGTGTTGGGTCACGAATATAGCCATGATGTGCGAGGACTCACAACACGTGCGGACAGAAGCAGCTTACACTACGAGGTAAAAGAATGAACTCTTCAAGCCAACCCCTAGACTAGCATAGAGAACAAGGGGTTTAGAACAACGCCCGGATACTGCCCAGATCAGGCAGCTCCCAGTTTCTGTTTCAGCGCCTGCAGCACGCTTTCCGCCTGCGCTGGCCCCATTGGTTCATGGCCACGTAGAGTTTCATTCTTTGGCTTCAGTGGCCAGGACACGTACACTCACCCCCTCAAAGCACCGCGCCTCAGCATGATCTCCAGACCGCATTAGGAGCGTCATGTGGTCGGCACTGTTGATCCAAAGCACGAAGTCCTCGTGAGCGAAGGACTTAAGGGATCTTAAGGGTCTACGGGCTCCAGGCACACCAAAAACCAAAGCAGCCGGGGCCCTCATGTGCCCTCTTAATGCCCTTCCTCGCGGTGTGAGACAAAGATGCCACGCCCACTCGGCTCTGAAGCCTGAAATCAACTCATATCATATCAGGACTCTGCTGCTGATGGGCCCCCCCGCCTCAAAGAGGAGCCCCTCCTTGCGGAGCTTTGTGGTCCATGAGTCTGGCATGCCTGCCCACGGATACCCCCGGGAAGAGAGAGAGGGAGAGACGAGAGGTGGGAGAGGCAGAGATGAGAGAGAAAGAGATGATGTCTGGAGCCCACCAGCGCGTATCCCACCGCACCTTCAGGCATGAGTGGCCAACTCCTTGAGGAAGGCAGTGGAAGGTATAGTCCTGCAGTTCTGCCATGCTCAGTACATTCAGTGGCTTCTGACGACCAGCAGCTTGCCATGTCCCTGGCGCGCCTGCAAGATCACCTTCCAGCTGGACCAATGCCTCATAGAAAGCAGACACTCATCTGGTCAGAGCAAGCACTCACAAGCACCATGACACTATGACTATGACTATAACATACTGCAACCACTGTATGTCAGTGAAACCCTGACAGTTCGCACACACTTTGGAAGAGCCCGGGCCTTGCCGAGTCTCCGCTCCACCTCCCGAGCCTCCGGTTTTTCCGGGAGGCTCCAGGACGACACCTCCTTCCACGTCTTCGTTGCCTGAGAAGAGGCAATTCTTAAGCAGCCTGTTTTCACCCCCAAGGCTGGCTCGTGGCTTCGTAGCTCGTGCACCGAGCTGAAGACTTGCTCAACCCTCGGCTTGCTGGCGGCGCTTGCGGTGCTCGCGGCGCTTGCGGACTGGAGCTGGCTGCATAGGAAGCCGAAGGGATCCTCATTGTCACATGCAAGAACCGAACCGGGCCCTGCTGACAGCCCCGGACACGAAACGTTTCCCGTGCTCGGCTACTGGCTTCCGGCCGTGTCTTCCTTGAGAAACAACACGCTTGACTCGGCACAAGCTGATACCACCAAGTGAGCTTACACTCGTTGCCGGTATCGCTGCGACTGAGCTTCAACAACAAGCGCACGGACTCTGCCAAAGCTTGTTCGATGCCGTGGGCCGCCAAGTAGTTCATGGCAGACCCCTTCAGCCGCTTCGTCTCTGTGGCTCCGTGCGCAGCATGTCACATTAACATCTTTCCCAAGCCTTGAGCTCTTGCTCTTCGGTTCGCCGACGGCTCTGCTGCTCCTAACTGCACTCTTAGGGACATCAAGGCAGCTTCCATGGGGCATGGGCAAACCACCTCCGCAGAGACCTCTGTGGCTTTCGACGTGATTCGCAGCCTTCAAGTGCCCACCAGGAACGCCAAATGCACGCAGGAAGTCTCGAAGTACCCGCCATTGAACCAGACTGGGCATGGCACTGCACGTTCGGCAACGTGGGGTCAGAGCCTTCATGAGAAACCACACACACACAGCCTCCCAAGCCGCCCCAAGAATAAGAACTGCTGTGAAACACCTGGGCCACGCACAAGGTATGCTCACCTCGTCATTGCCGGCATTGCTCGGATCAACTGCCACCGAGCACGATCCAACCTCAGCCAGCAGATCCTTCAGGGGGAACTTTCGGAAATCTGCCCACACAAGGCTAACTGAGGTCAATTCGTGTCGGTAAATGTCGATCTTTGCTCTCCTGCTAGGCTGAGACTTCCATCTTGTTTTGGCAGGCATTGGCAGGCTCGACCCCTTCAATCAAAAGCTCCTTCTGGCGTCCTGCTTCTGGAAGATGAAGCTACTGGCTGACCTTTTTGCAGAGCCGAAAAGGTCGGCCGAAGGCTCTGAGACTGCCTATGCTTAGTATACTTCGTATACTTAGCATACTTCGTATACCTGGTGTACTTGTAGCATGCTCAGTGGCTTAGTACACAATATACAATCGTCGCCTCGTATCGACGTCGAGTCTTCGCTGCTTCACTGCTTCCCCGAGACGCACCCCGACGAAGAAGCCTTTCGGCACCTGCGGGATGATCTCAAACCTAGCCGATTGGAAGCAGGCCTTGGCGAATTGCGTCGGCCGACCTCCCATCCTGGCATTGCCTCAACTTGGACTTCCATGGCCTTCACATTGTCATCTTTGCCCATGCTGACCATGGAACAAGTCTGCATGCAACACAGCAAATCGCCATACAGACCATACACCACTGTTGCCTCTGCTGCCGGCGGGTCCAGACCACGTCTTCAAGATTCTTCCAAAGCTCGTGACGCTGTAGGCCAAGATGGCAACGGTAGCGCGAAGTGACTGTCAAAACACACGAACCCACCCCTTGCAGATTTACGGCTGCAGACGCCTGCGTATTCAGCCCATGTGTCTCACTCAGTTTGAGCCCTTTGTGGCCTGGGAAGCCGCGAAGAGCATGGATAGTGTCAACAGGGAATGAAAAGCATGTCGACAAGATCGGAGTTGCACATATCAGCTTTAGAAGCGCCGACAATGGACCTTGACATGGGTTCACTCGGACTTGAGCCAGCGGACCAAGGATGGCGAACCATGGCAGCACACGCGAATGCACAAAGTCCATGCAGAATGCAGATTGCGCTGTTGGCGGCGCCTGGTTCTCACTTGGCGGAAAGGTTAAGCTCCTGGAGGCGGCGTGCAAAAGTTGACGGCGATTCTGGGATGCTTTGTCTCAGGCTGGGCCCCTGACCCGGAGTAGCTCAGATTCCAAGCGGGCCCAAGGCAAATGCCGTGCCTGCAACATCTCAAGTGTACATCGCGGGATGCAGGGAGGCAACCAGCACTGGGCAGCGGCACTGCTGAAGCGCAGGAGCACAATTCTGGGCCAAGGTATCCTTTGCATGCCGACAGGTATCCCGCAGCATGCCGTCACAAGTTTCACGAAGTCTTGGATCTCAGCCGCGAACGGCAGACATGTGGTGACTCACGGGCCTCAAAGCCGCCGAGTTCCTGCAGCCAAGATGCTTCGAAGGCCTCCAAGTTCCGGCCGACCTCCAGCCAAAGAATCACCTGCCCCCAGGCTGACAGGAGGCATTTGGGAATCGACTGAGGCGAACGGTCTCTTAGTAGCTCTGCGGGTGTGCGGGCAGACGTGCGCGACACGGTCGAGAGCCTGGAAGACCAAGCCCAGCAGCTGCACCAGTAGCCACCTTTTCCGCAAAAACAAGTCGTGGGCGTCTTTGAAGGCAATTGCTTTGCATCGTTGGGCACCCTGCGCCAGAACCACCGGAGCCTTCAGGCGCCTCGGCCGGAAGTCGTCGCAGCAAAGGGTGAATACCCGGACCTGGAATCTTGGGATCGTCGAGCTGTCGGCCTACACTGACCTATACACGCGCATTCATAACCCACAAAAACCAAAACCCCATGGGCTTGGATTAGCACGGGATCCGTGTCTTCGGACGTCTCTAACCACCTGCCCACGGAACAGAACAGGTTGGAAGGCAGACGCCCGTCGCTCGCCTTGCCACGCCCTTCAACCATCTCCCGGGATCTTCTACTGCTTTGTTGACCTTGAGCTCTCGGCTGATTCGTCGTGCGTGAGGAGAGAAATTGCAACTTTCTGAGGCCAGGTCAGCACCGTAGAGGCCTCCACGTCCTTCAAAAAGGCCCCCGCGCAATGGACACGAGAACAAAGCTGTCAACTCATTTCGTACGAGGTCTTGCCTTGCTCTTCATCGGCTGGCTCCTGGCTTGGACCCACAGCACCACACTCGGGAAACAACATCAAAATGGACAGTGCATGCAAATGGGGCATGGGGCGCCAATTAATTGAAAACATGCAGTCTGACGGGCTCAGACTTACCTTTACTTTTTTTGGATGGGAGCGCTCATGAGCCGGCAAGGCTGAGCATCAAGGTGTGTGCTAGTCCAAAAAGGCAAAAAAGATGCTCACCAAGGTGCCTTCTTTGCAGGACGTAGCTGCTTTCGCTCTGCACCCATGCCACGCGTTGGCAGCCTGGGCAAGAGTTGGCATCTTCATGATCAGTGCATGGGGCACTCGCCCTCCCATCGGCCTGGAGCATGGCCGTCATCTAGCGGCGGTCAAGCTGGTGCTAGCAAACGGCTCACCTACGGACCTACGGCCATGACATGGTTAGTATTGCCCCGCCTGGCTGATACTGGTATCAGCTGCAGTATGTTAAGTCTTGTTCGGCGACATGAGGATACAAAACAGAGTACTTACTGCCTCAAAAGCAACCAAAATGAAAACGATTGTGGCATCGCGATCCGGCTTGACTTGCCATGACTGGGTCGGTTGAACTGGTTATATGTAGGACTACAAGCAAACCTAGTCATGTGATGTTCGAGAACTTAAGAGCAAGAGGTGCAAGCACAAGCTGCTGCTTCTGAACTCCCCTTTGCGCGGCGCAAACATAGGATCGAGCCAGAAGCCGGGAGCTCAGCTTGCCTTTTTCCTGGGGGCCGGCCAAGCGAATCAATCACCTCACAGCCATGGCCGACCACTGCACATGTATATCATCAGCTCCTAGAGTCCTAGAGCTGCATTGCATATCATCCGTCTTGAGCCTTAAGCTGCAGCAAGGTCGCTTAGACGAGGGTTCTTCGACGGCCGCGGTCGCTCTGAATGCCACTCTGCAGGTCGCCGGTCACCTGAAAGGCGCTGGCGTGTAAATCTTGCTTGCTTAGGAAGCTGATGCTCCACATCAGACTGGAAGAGTGGACGGAGGGAAGGGCACACTGAGCAGGAAGGAAGCAGCACCGCAGACTTTGGCCGGAATTGAGAGCCCAAGTCGCCCGGGCAGTATCTTCCCCTGCCTGGGGTGTCCCATCCATCCTCCTCACTGCAAGGGCAGAACGCATTGGCTGGGCTCTCTGATGCTCTCTGCTAAGGTGCAGCATCTGAAGGCGCTCTTTGAATTCCGCCCGTCCTTCGAAGGCGGCGCAGGCGGGGGTGGCGGTGGAGGCGGCGGCGGTGGCGCAGGCAAGCTGGGCGCAGCCCGCCCGGGCACCGGTGGCGGTGGTAAGGTCTCGAGGCGCGGCGCGCGCCGTTCAGACCCCTCCTGAGACGGATGCCCTCTTCGTGCACAACATTGTGCAGCCCTGACCTGCTGCAGAATTTTGTGCTTTGCTGCTGCAGACTGCAGGCAAGAGGCTCGTTCATTGGGCTCCCTCCAATCGTTGGAGCGGTTCGACCAGTCCTTGGACCAGTCCTTGGACCGGTCCCTGGACCGGTCCTTGGACCGGTCCTTGGACCAGCCGCCCTGAAGCTAAGGCATTTCTGTGTTGCAAACGGCGTGTTGTATCGGTATTGGAACATTTTGAAACAACAGCCACTAGGACTTGTAGAAAGAGATAGAAAGAGTTCATGATGAATGATAATGAATGTATTCTGCTCAGCAGTAGAGGTTCAACTCTGAATGGCTGGTGCATCCAGCCTCTCTCCAGTGTCCGTCGGTCCAGGAGCTGTCCCGCCACTGACTCTCGTCTTGGCGAGAGGCCGCCGGTCTTGCGAATGCCAAGTTGGAGAGCAATCAACAGGGGCACTGAACAGCTTCAGCCCCGATGTCCTCTCGTAGCTGCGTGAAGGTGGCTTGGAAGGGGCTGAGCCTCCTGGTCACACTCTGGCACGTGTCGTAGATCAGACTCGACACTACGTTTTCAGCAGTCGCGCAATCCCGTCAGCTCCTTCTCCGCTGTTCTGGCTCCAGTCATGCCAACGTTCCCATTGGCTGTTTTTAGATTTCCAGGCAGATTTTTCATGGTTCGCCGCATCAGGCTCTCGTTGTCTCGGATTGGCGTCCGGATCCTTCCATACACCGCCTGCAAAGATTTGCACAGAACAAAAATTAAAACATCACACGGAATGCCATGGACCCTCCATCCTGACATACGGAGCAGAACTACGCGAACCGGCCGTCAGCTGTTCTAACTCAGCCTAGCGCAGGGTTCCCCGAATAATCAAAGTCCTGAAGCCAACTCGAAATGAGAAACTGAAATACAAACCTATGCCCGAACGTGCTGCGAAGGTTCACACAAATTTTCTTGCAAGAGTCCTCCGCCGAGAGCTACAATCCGACAACTACTACTATTCAGAAAAAATCCCTACCTAATCGTTTGGTGGCCCTCTGTTTGAAAACGAAACCCATGTTCCGGGGCAACCCAACAGAAAGATCAGAAAAAAAAAAAACGGCGTGTCTCACAAAAGAGTCCATGTGATCAGACCTGTTTGTGCCCGCCATTTGTGCGCGAGCCGAGGGACTGGCAGGGTGTCTCAGGGCAGCTCTTCTTCCCGCACAGCAACCCGCCGCTGGCCTGGCCTGAAGTGCTTCCTCGTGCTGCTGCTTCCAATGCAGCCGCACCTAAGCAGCTGAATTCTTGCTCTTCGCTCTCCGTCTCCTCGCCATCCACGAGATCACCTGAAGCACTCGCAAGGCAGCAGAGCACGATGCAACAACGCTGCATGACTGAGAAGTATACACAGGGCATCACAGGGCAGCACCACACTGCCGCCGCTCCATCATGACACATCATGACACATCGAAGCCCCATCTGCAGTTGGGCTGCTGTCCTCGTCGCTGCCGTCATCCCCCAGCTGCTTGCGCAGCGCTGAGAGATCGGCGCTGTCACAAAGGAAGGAGGTCTCCTGAAAACGGACAAGAATCACTGCCTGGCCACACGGCGTGGATCCGGAATGCTGAACGCTTTCCTCCATGCCAGTGGCGGCCAGCACGGCATCACCAACAGCAGGCAAGTCCTCAACATCCAGGACACGAAATCCGCAGCTTGCTCTCTCCAATAACCGAAAAATGCACACACGACAATACAGGCCTTCTTGCAAAACTCCGATGGCAACACGAGATAATGTGGCACGGAGATCGGGCCGAACACGTCCACCTGCAGCCCGATCTCTTCCGATCTCTAAGGCCAACGGGGGCGCGGACGTGCTAAGGCCCCAGAGACTTGCAACAGTACACAGTTGCGCAACTGCCCATAACTTGCTGTAACATTTAAAGTATCGAAGTACCACATGCCGCCATGCTGACTGCCACACGATGCTACGCCGGTGCACCAAACAATTTCAGCTTGGCCACCACAGCACCCAGAACCCGCCCGTCTGCCAGGCAAACAATGGAGCCCAAGTCCAAAGCCTGGCTTTGGAACAGCTTAAGGACTGCAACGCATACGTATTCTGAGCCCAAGGGCGTCCTTGCCGTCTTCTTCGCCCTGGACGCAGACCAGCTCGTCCACGACCGACCGCACCTTGCCGATCGCTTCCTTCGATGCGCTGGCCTCCAGCTTCTCAGGCAGCTGTGATACCTTGGCTTCTCTTCAGTCTTCGGCAGCGTTGCTTCAATCATTCGTCGCAAGGTCATGCTTAACGTCATCATATGTCATCACTGCATGATATTGCATGCATTGGGGCATTGATCACTGGAGCTCCCTCCTCATCTTCAGGTGCTGTCCGGGTAAAGGTCTGTTCCTGGACACACCCCGGCGACTCCAGCGATGGCGGGGGCAACCTTGAGTCACATAACAACAGATGCACCGTCCTCGCCATTCTTTGTGGCCTGCTCCGGATGCGTGGGCTCCTGGATCTCTGGCAGAGGCTGCCAGCTCTGTCAACTTAACGGCTTTCCAAGTGGTGCAGTGATGCGTAAGTGGCTTCCTTGTTGTTCGCGTCATCCTCATCCTCCTCGGGTGCGCTTCTTTGAGCTCCAGGCCCGAGCGGGTTGGAACACAGAGTCAAACACTAAACACGACTGCATTGAGGCCAGGATCGTCGTCATCACCCCGGGCATCCCCTCTGTCTGGGACTTCTTTCCCAGGCTCGGGAACTGCGGCAGCCTTCCACGGCACATTAACATACTGCGCACCTGTTGCAGTCAACGTGTCCATCCATGCTGTGGGCGCCCTGCCTGGGTTGGTTCCTGAGCCGGCGCGTCTGGTGCTGCCTGCTGCTTTCCGGATTATCGAAGCAAAGTCTGCTACTTGTGGACAACATCGTTGAGCGGTAGCGATGGTGGCCAAGCTGCCCCAGCAGTCTCCTCGTCCGTGCTTTGCAGATCCACTGCTGCCAGCGCCTCTGCAGACTTCTCTTGGCCTGGACCCCAATCTTCTTCACCTCAGATGCTTTCTTCCCCCCAACAAACACAGCAACTTTGCACAACATAGCTAGACATGCTAGAAGACTCCAAGAATGACTCGAATACAGCTCGGGCCTAGCGTGGCCAAGTGGCCCACGGCGCACTGCGGCTCCGCCTGTTCCTGGGAGTCTGGAAGTGGTACCTTGGTGACAGCCTGCAACAGCTGAGAATGGATGAATGTCAATGTGGCATAAGCAGGAGCATACAGAAGACATATGACCTTGTGCACACATGCACTCTGCAAGCCTGGCCCTAAAGCCTGCCCGAAGTGGGCCCCGGCCCTGCCTCCGACGCGGCGCGGCATGCCTCCCGCACCTCTGGGGAGACGACGGCATCGAAGTGGCTCGGCAGCTCGCCGATCTTGGAGGTAAGCCTCTTGAAGGCAAGAGCAAGTCACGAGCACGTGCCAGCCCAGAGTCACCAGCTTTGGGAGAGCCGCTTGCTCGTTTCTTTCAACAGCCGCAGCAGCTTCCTGGCACTGCACATGAGTCACATAAGCATCTGAGCACACAAGCATCATGCTCCCAGCAAGCTCCCATTTTGACCAAGTTTCTGCACGTCTTCTGATGAGGGAGCCTTCCGCCGTGCCTGGCTTCCAGTCCCTGTCCAGGCGGAAAAAAAGCCACTACCCCGTAAAATCAAGCGATCTCACACTCGAGAACCTGCAAAAGGGCGACTTCCTTCTTGGATCCGGGAATTAGCTCTTGAACCGAAAGCGACATGGCGCCTCAGTTTCTCTCCAGCAGTTTTCGCAGTGAATTGGCCGGCTTTCTGCTGACCAAGGAGTCCAAACAGGAGAATCTATTGCGTCGTACTGGAGTGTAATAGGCCGTAGTTAGGCCCAAAACAACCGCCGTGAGGATAGCCCAAATTTCAACGCCTTCATCCCCTCGGCCTGCATCATCTTGAAGGACCTGCTCCGCAAAGACCTCCTGCTGCGCGATGCGCTGGGCCACCAGCCTTGGGAGACACGACGTTTCTGCCTACTTCCGTGACCTGAACACGGGTGGTCTTGTCTCACTCCTACCCAACCGATCCATCGGTACAGCATAGCAGCATGTCATCCACAGCTGTTTCCCCATCCTTAGATATCGAACAAGACACCGAGCAATGTGCAATCGACTCCTTGAAAACTCGGAGTGCACAAGCAGTGTCAAGGCAAGCCCACAGCTCCCGCTGCAGCCTAGGCACAATCACGAGGTCTTCGTCCTGTTGGTATGTCATGATCGTTTCACTTTTCCGATGCACTTCGTCATTCTGTATAGGTCTGAGTCTGTAGCATGGCCGATGGGAGAAAAGCACACACACAACACAGTTCCTCGCGAAGGTGCTTGATGTGAAGCTCAGAGTCCTTAGCCGCGCATCCGACACATCCCATCATCGAGACTTGGAAAAGACTCACCACAGTCCGCACAAGCGGCTGGGAGTAACGTAAACCAACTTTATAACAGCTGTGGCACGCTCTCTTCGTTGGCTTGGTTTGCGCTGTCCTTTGTGGCCGACGCCATGGCATTAGCGCAAAGGCTAGCGCAAAGGCTCACTTATCTCATAATCACAGATATATATATATATATATGTGTGTGTGTGTGTATGTATATACATATACATATATCTATATGTGTGGATGTATATATGTATTATATATATACACACATATTTTCAGACAAATGTGTATGTAGGTATAGTGCCTCCATCGTTTTGCTTTTGGAGTTTTGTAGGGCTGAGGATCAGTGGAGTGTTGCATCGTTTTTTTCAGCGATCAGCACTGACCTGTCCATATCTGTCAGCGGTGCTTGTGTGGCGTGCCGAGCACGGCATTACAGATTACAGGCGTTCACACTGCATTCGCGACGGTATGCAGAGTCGGGTCGGCTTAGGGCCGGCGGTCGCGACCCAGCAGATTCAAAGAAGCCTGCCATGGCTCATTATTCGTAGCTACAGTAACTGCAATGTCTAGATTGCGGGCGGAGACCAGGAGGAGAACGCGCTGCCTTTTTCGGATCATTTCGGATTGAAAATTGCTGCCGGCTCGGCTGCCGGCACATCTGCAAAATCTGACAAGCTGTCTGGCCACAATCCGCGGCCTGTGCAGGCTGCATATGCTTGACAAGCTCAAGCCCATGCTTGCCTGTGATCACTTGAGCTGAGTCTGCAGATGGCCAGGCGGAACTCACCGAGCGAAAACTACGAGAGGCTCCACCATTCGGTGGAAAACGATGCAGTCTAGCAAGGGCTAGCGCCTACTGAGGAAAGCCCTGGAGTGACATCAGCTGGGTACTAGAAGACACGACTCCATCTGTTCGCTGCAGGAGTCTGCTGCGCCCAAGCCTCCGCGTTTCCAGGCCCGACTCCCTTCGCCCAACGCCGCTGGCAGGTCAAGATCCAAAAAGCCGATGGAGCTGCGCGTAGAGTAGCCTGGGTTGTGGCATGTCGCAACTCCTTTCAAGCCATGGCAGTTCATGGCAGCCTGGGGAAGAGTAAGCCAAGCACTGGCACAGTAGTCTGAGACTTGCAGAACACCTTCTACGGCACTACATTGTAGAATCATTGTAGACCCACCGCAAATCAAGAAAAGCCAAGGAACAAGATGCTGCCATAACAAATGACACACCACCAAGGGCGCGGACTCCTCAAGACATAGGGGTATATATCTATATACACATATATATAGAGGCGCTAGGGTGCTACATCTCGCTGCGAAAAGTTGTGGCTGGCTATTCCCCCATCTGCATGATGCCGGGACGCAGGATGATGTACAGGTGCAAGCCGTTTGCATCCATAACCAGCAGGTAGAAGAACAAATAAACAAGGGCAAGGACCGCAGCGACCCAGAAATCCAAGAAAAACAAAGGTCGCCAGTGGCTCCACTGGCTTGCCAAAGCTACGGGCAGATTGAGGAGGTGCATGTTCAGGAGGAACACGCTGAAGTTCATTTTCAAGAAAGCCCGCCGATGCTCAGCCGCGGCGCACGCCAGGATGAGTGGGAACCTCGGTCCGGCAATGAGTGCGGTGGTTCCGTTCGGGATGTAGCCCGGTTGAGAAAAATGTGAATCATTAATGGACAGCTCAAGCCCAAGGAGCAGGACCAGCCACCAGACCGTGCTAGTGACGGTGGCCATTGCAATGACCGGGAAGCGCAAGATCTCGGCGGCTTGAAAGCCAAGGCTCACGAAGATGAAGCGGAGAGTCAGAAGCGCGTAAGAGATGGCCGTGTAGCTGACAAAAGGCCACAGCCCCGTCGTTTTGCAAGTGTAAAGCATGACAGCCGACATGTACAGGGCGCCTGCACCGTGCCTGGCCATGTTGCAATTGAATTCACACTGACGAAGGTTCAGGAAACTGGCAACATAACCTCACATACCCAAACACTACTCAACTTGACAAGCAGCAAGAATCGAATCAGCGGGCTTTCTGCAACACCGCTGAGCTTGGACAAATCGTCGTAAGCCCAGGGAGCCGATATCACGACGAAACCTAGTGGGAGCTGCATGGAGGACATGGAGGCCAAGCGGCTCAGGTCAAGCACTATCGATCATGCAGATAGCAGTACGAGTGCTAGGCCAGGCAAAGCACGTGGCAACTCACACTGAAGGGTGCTGCCCTCTCAGCCTGTAAGTCCTGCTTGGGCCCTAGGTGTGGAGACCTCGTCCCCAATATTCGTGGCTCAAGTATGTACGAACAGTTACCACTATGACTGACCGTGTGGTCATCACCGTGTGATCATCGAACATTGAAGCGTTAAATTGCTCAGAAGAGGCACCGACAAACGCCGCCAGGAAGACATAGGCCAAAGGCGACCATGGACCCACTCGCAGATGTTCAGGGAACCTGTCCTCGGTGGCGGTAATACCTCATAACTGCTCCCGACACTCAACCCCAAATACCAAGGGCACCACAGCCAATCCACGGCTATAGACATGGGGGGATGAAACTTCGTATACTCGCTCCGATCTTGAGAAGGAAAGTGTGTTGCACAGAGGAAGCCTAAAACCCCCTCAATGCAATGAGCTTCGAAGCTTGGCCAGGGGCAGCTGCTCCCAGCTTTATCCCACTCCGCGCCAAAGAAGCGCCCGGACCTGGCAATTCGGACTTTAGCGGTAGAGCTCGATGGAGGCCTAGAACGGCTGCAGTTCGGAGTGCTTGCTTCCCACCGTTCTCCTTTAAAGAGAAGTTTGGCCCTTACAGCTAAGATGGGTGCCGCTCAATAGCTCAGACCTTCACATCCAGAACCGAACGAAGCCCGAAGCCAAATGCTTCAGTACCAGGAAGCTGAGGCTTTCCATCGCGCGCGGCGTCCTTAGCCAGCTCTGTGACTCCAGCATTCCGTGCTCGCAGGCCGCAGTCCTCCCGCAGATGAGAAACACACGTCCAGTCTTGTCCAACTGCCTCCGCAGGTCTGCAGCTTCAACAGTCTCGGGGCTGTGTGGGGATTTCACTCGCTACTGCCGAGCGAGACAACTGCATGATCATTGCTGGAGCGCTGCGACGAACTCTGAATCATTTAGGGGGCCCTGCACGGTGACGGGTCCTCATTCAGAATGTCTTCCCCGACCATGGCGCAAACCGGCCGATGGCCCAGGCTTGAGTCAGTGCGGCATCACACAAGCACCAGCTGCCCGCGTCACGAAAAGTCGCAAGTACAACAGTCAGGTTTCACAGTTAGGCTTAACATGCACTTCCTCTATGTCATGAGCATTCACTGCGCAAGCTCTGGCAAATCGTGACTTTTCGCCTTGGACCCGGTCGCCACGGTGATCTGGGCACTCAGCCGAAGAGGTCGAAGTCCATCTCTTCCTCCTCCTCTTCCTCCTCGACCTTCTTCTTCTCCTGTGGAACCCCCAGCATACCCTGAGTATTCCAATATCAACACAACACGATGAGCAGTTACGACTCACTTGCGATGCTGTACGGCCGCTGCTGCAACCCTCAAGTCCTCAGCCGCCGGAGCAGCCCCTCCGCCGCCACCTGCAGCTGGTGCGGCTGCTCCGCCACCGCCTTGGAATGCTGCACAAGCCACGTATTTGGAATTCGAGAATCTCCCCTAAGAGGTTGCAAGAGGTTGCAAGATGTCCAACTCAGCCTGTTCAATGGCCTTCGTGAATGCGGTGGAAGCGGATGGCTTCCAGGGATTGGCTCCCGAGGTGCTTCCATGGCCGATGGTTGCGTTCATGCTACCAGTGCACCCATGGGGCCAGAGCATCCATGCAAAGCATCCAAGGCCCAAGTCTCACAGGACGTTCCTTCTGTAGCTTTGCTGTGCTTGTAGTGTTGGGAAGGACGGCCAGGTGCGAAAGAGTGGCGGGTGGTCTCCAGCGTGAAGGCCTGCTAGTGAAGAAGCTGGTGCGCACATCGGCGCGCCCGGTACCCTTCGTCCACGTTTCGGACGTGCAGGACACATTGCCGTCAAATAGGGCGTCCCGTCTGGAGATGTCTGAAGCGCGCGAGAAATTCCTGGTCGAGCCTCAGACCTCGACCACCTGAATCGAAGCCTTGTGAAACGTTCTACATCGTTCTACTACACTGACCACTGCTCCACTGATTTCCCAAGGATACTCTTCACTCCGAGGCACCGCCACCACCACCACCGCCGCAGGCAGCAAACTTTCCATAGCCCTCTTTGATCAGCTCATGGGCCTGGAGGCATTAGAGTCACACTTCAAGGCTGAATGAGTTGAAAAGTCGGGCTTGACACAAGGCTGCAAGAGCCACCAGCAGATGCCAGCGGTTAGCACCCGCCTCCTTTCCCTCCATGCGCTCGCAAAGCTTGTTGATGAGGTCGTCTTCGTAGCTGATGCCTCCGGCCTGTCGCAACAGTCTTGGTGGCCTCCGGCCCAAGCGCGGCTGGGACGGCTTGGGACGAGGTGCCCAGCCTCCAGGATGGTCTTGATGTCTTGGGCGGAGGGGCTGTCCTGAGGATGTCATGAGGCACAGCCTGACCTCTGAAGCAACACAGTACTACGATGCAGGATCCAGGAGCTCCTTGCCACCAAGCACAGCCATGAGGTAGGCACCCATGTATTTCATCGCCATGGCCTCAAAGGCTCGACAATTGCAACAAGAGCCCACGAAGACTTTGCAGCGGCAAACGGCAGAGCCGGGAAGAACCACAGCAGGGCCACGAAAAGCTTCAAGACGCGCATCCCACGGAAAGCCCCTGCCCTGCAAGAACAGAAGAACGCTCCAGACAAACCCCCGAGAACGCGCCGAACATCGAGGAACCATAGGACATGCGCTGCCTTTTCAAGCTTTGAAAGGTATCCGAGAGGCTGGATCCGGCGCCCGTCGACCCCGACTCGCTGTAGGTATCGGTTTCGAGCCAAAGGTCTTGCCCGGGCTCTCTGTTCTCTCTGCTGCACTGCCAGTCCACTCAGTGTTTGAGGCGAGTTTGAGGCCTGCTGCTGCGCGCGCTGAGACTCTGAGACTCAAGGCTGGCACTGTCGCATTTTTTTTTTAATCTCGCATTTGGCCTCGCTTGGCATCGACAAGACAATACAGTACAAGCCAATAGAACAACACTCGCATGTGCAATTCTGAAGGTGAACGAAAATTGCCTGCAATTTTATGCCGCCCACCTGATCTCCCGGTGACTCTCGAACTGAACTGCCATGCAATGGATGCAGTCAGGTGCCTCAGGAAGGGCGGTGAAGAGGGAGGGAGACCATGCCATTCCCATGCCTCAGGTTGTGAGCTGCTGCCTAGCTGCAGGATTACAAGGATCCTGTAGAGGGATGACAATGACATCAGCTGCACTGAGCGGAGCGGCGACAGCTGTTCAACTCCCGGTCTTTCTAGATTCTAGATCTCCGAAGTCACCTGCAAACACACGCCCGCCACATCTCAGATAGTTCAAGGCGAAGGGACAGAGCTGGCAAACACAAAGCTTGCACATGACGGCACAAACAGAATGCCACAGCAAAGGGATCCTTTTTGTGGTCGCCGATTCCGACCCACAGGTTCAGGCTTCTGGGCTGCGGATCAGGAAGCTCAGCCGCTTCCCGTCCTTCGCTTCCGGTTGCACCCACACTCTCACATGTTCCAGTTGTAGGTCAGGGCAGGTGGCATAGCCCAGGACGGGGCATTGTTGACAAAGTCGTCAATGGGAGGCAACTGCTGCCAGGGAGTGAAGTCGAAGTCCGCGACCGCGACGTCCGTCAATGGCTTGCAGATGTCGGCGCCGCCGCAAAGCTGGCCGACACCCGCGGCATACTCTCCAGTGACAACGTCCTGTGCCACAAGCCCCGTAATGCCAATCATGGCCAGGCGGCCGTTGTTGAGTTCCTGGCGCTGGACGCGCTTCCAGCCATTCCAGATCTCAGATGGGTAGTCCTCGACGATGATGCCCTTCCATCCGAGCACGTCCCAAGGGCGGTCCGCGGGGGGCTTGCAGATGTAGGTGGTTAGCCACTCCAAGCACATGATCGTGAAGACCACCTGCCACATGCCTGCCATCGGCAACTGGGTAATGTTGACCAGCGGGTTGTTGCTCATTTTCTCACCTGCTGCGTAGTCGCCTAGGAGGTGATAGCCTGCGGCGACGTGGAACCAGTGAAGCACGGCGAGCATGGCCACACGGCCATGCTTCAGCTCGATGGCTCGGTACTGGAGAAGCTCCTTCTCAGTGCACGACTTGCTGATGCCCGCGGGGTCCCAGAACATGTCAGGGAGAGGGCCGCCAGTGCCGGCGATGAGCTCCTGCGCAGGCGTCAAAGCACGCAGCGGGGAGTCAGTGTAGAGCGACCAGTCGCCCCAAGCCTGTCCTGTCAATCCGTTCTGAAAAAACATGCCAATGATGGCCATCATGGCCAGCCTGCCATTGGCGATCTCGGCTGCCAGCTTCTTCTCCCTCTGGTCCGCCGGCGCCTTCACGAAACCGTTCGGGATGCCAAGGTTGCCTGCGTTCTCGAAGTCGCCTGGGGCACGCTTGGGATCATCGACGTATTGGAAAAGCTCCACACTGCCCGCGAACGCCACCATCTGTGCCCAGCCGCTCAAAGGCACCTTGGAAAAGGCGGCGAAACCTGTTGGGACATCTGTGAACTTGAGACCCAAAGACGAAGAGAGGTCACCCGGCCAGCGGTAATACTCGGGAACAATGTACCCCATGCACGCCAGCATCGCCACGCGCCCGTGCTTCAGTTCCACGTAGCGGCGGCGACGGAAGGAGGCTGCATCGCCGCCCTTAGTAAAGCCAAGAGGATCCCAGAAACCGGTAGGAGGCTGGACACCGAGTTCCGTCTCAAATGCACGGAGAGGGGACTCCGTGTAATTCGCCCAATCACCCCAGGCAGAGCCTGTGAGACCATCTTGGAAAAACATTCCGATGATCGCCATCATGGCCAGGCGGCCGTTAGCGATTTCAGCGTTAAGTTTCTTCGTCTTCAACTCCGCATCCTCCACGGGCTTCCCGCCCAGGTATGCCGGAATGCCCAGGAAACCGTAGTCGTAGTTCAAAGCTTCCTCACCGAAGAGACGCGTCTGGAGCTTGCCAGGCGGGTTGGTTGGCCTCTGGTCGGCAATCCAAAGGTCGCACAGACCGCAGAAGACCGTGTACTGGAACCAGCCGACGGCGGGCACAATAGTGACGGCCTTGAGACCATTCCTGGGTTGTCCAGAGCATGTCCGAAGTACTGTGTTGATTTCACGCTAACAGTAACATTTAACACGACCGGCCACCATCAACTCGCAATTGTTTTGGCTAAGCCAACGAAAAAGAAGACCACACACAACGCAGTAGGGCTAGGATTACATGATGCGCATTTCAATTTTGTTCTCCTACTTTAATAGGATCCATACCTTTTCCTTCTATTGAGAAAAGACTGTTGGCACTAGGAGTCTGCTACTTTCACCGTGCACTTCTCTCGTTTATCTAAACCTAGTAATCTCCTGTTTTCAAATTCATTTCTTTAGACTTTGTTTGTGCCAAGAAGAACTCTATCCTTTCCAGATTTGCTTGATTCCTGGGTTCAGGAAAGTTTTCCTATCCTTGGTCTGCTTCTGAATACAACTTCCACTTCTTCGGAATATTATATCACCCGTGGAATGAGTGAAACGAACGTGCGGCGTGAATCTGTTTAAGCATTGACTCACAGTGCTGGTAGCTCTATAGACTCTATATCACTTCCTCATTCTTGTCACAAAGCCCTGCCTGGCAAGAAAAGCATTCGGCAACCTAGACTCGGGACGTCGGCAAACTTGAGGTCCGTGCTCGGGGAGAGGAAGCCCGGGAAACGGACGAACTCCTGCACAATGTAGCCGGTGCACGCGAGCATTGACACGCGTCCATGCTTGATCTCGACCACGCGGCGGCGGTAGAATTCCTGTGCATCGCCATCGGAAGTGAAACCTGCGGGATCCCAAAAGCCCAGAGGGGCTTGCACTCCAAGCTCGTTCTCGAAAGCGCGGAGCGCTGCCCTCTCCTTCCTCGGCACAGCGACCGCGGCGCCCACCGCTGCACCCAGCCCGCAAAGAGCTAGACCAGTGCTGGCGGAGGCCTTGGTCTGGGCCGCTTGGGCCGCCTGGGCCTGGGCGCTGCTGCGCAGAGCGGGCCCGCGGGCGGTGCTCGGCGCGGCCACGAAGGCCGTGCAACCCGCGGCAGCCAGGGCAGCGGCGGCAATCTGCTGGGTGGGAGCCATGGTGTTCTGAAAGTGCTGCGATCTGGCTCTCCGGCTTGCCAGCAGCGAGGGCTTGAGCCGTAGCCTTGCATTGTCCCGAAATACCCCTTTAGGTCGAAGAAACTGCCTCTCGCCTCGTGCACCTTTAATTAAGTTCAACCCCAAACCCTAAGCAGGAACCTCGAACCGTGCATCCTCCAGGGCCTCCACTGCTTCTGCACGCCTGCATCCGTAACAAGCATGAATCATGAACCTATTATTGGCCCTGTGCCCCATCAACCGCAAACCGAACCTTGCGTTACCTCAAAAAAACCGAAGGATTCCAAGATTTACGGAAGCTTTGCTCCTGAAAATTGCGCAGGCCTTTCAATCGTCTCCTGGTATGATGACGAGGTAGTGGCAGCAGAATCTCGACTTCTGCCAGCAACTCCTAGATACAGCAAACATCAACGTGCAAACAGTGTCCACCTGTGCGGGTTTTGCCGGCTGCACGAGTAGCTTCGATAACCTGTGCATCTGAAGTGCGGCAAAACTTGCCTACGACTTGCGGTGCTGGCAACTCCTGCCACCTTCTTCATGAGGACATGGATTTGTGTGCCACCTAATCTCCCGGTGACTCGAACTGAAGGGTCCTGCTGCTCAGTCGGGCTTGAGATTTCCGAGAGAAGTCCTGATTTGTTCCGCGACATCATTGCCAGCCTCAGGCCGCATGGAAACTCGGCAGAGCTACCAGACTCAGAGCCGATGCTCCCTCGCAGCACATAAATGGCAGAAGCAGCGCAACTTGAAGATACTAACTGCAGGTGCCTCAGGAAGGGCGGTGAAGAGGGAGGGAGACCATGCCATTCCCATGCCTCAGGTTGTGAGCTGCTGCCTAGCTGCAGGATTACAAGGATCCTGTAGAGGGATGACAATGACATCAGCTGCACTGAGCGGAGCGGCGACAGCTGTTCAACTCCCGGTCTTTCTAGATTCTAGACCTCCGAAGTCACCTGCAAACACACGCCCGCCACATCTCAGATAGTTCAAGGCGAAGGGACAGAGCTGGCAAACACAAAGCTTGCACATGACGGCACAAACAGAATGCCACAGCAAAGGGATCCTTTTTGTGGTCGCCGATTCCGACCCACAGGTTCAGGCTTCTGGGCTGCGGATCAGGAAGCTCAGCCGCTTCCCGTCCTTCGCTTCCGGTTGCACCCACACTCTCACATGTTCCAGTTGTAGGTCAGGGCAGGTGGCATAGCCCAGGACGGGGCATTGTTGACAAAGTCGTCAATGGGAGGCAACTGCTGCCAGGGAGTGAAGTCGAAGTCCGCGACCGCGACGTCCGTCAATGGCTTGCAGATGTCGGCGCCGCCGCAAAGCTGGCCGACACCCGCGGCATACTCTCCAGTGACAACGTCCTGTGCCACGAGCCCCGTAATGCCAATCATGGCCAGGCGGCCGTTGTTGAGTTCCTGGCGCTGGACGCGCTTCCAGCCATTCCAGATCTCAGATGGGTAGTCCTCGACGATGATGCCCTTCCATCCGAGCACATCCCAAGGGCGGTCCGCAGGGGGCTTGCAGATGTAGGTGGTTAGCCACTCCAAGCACATGATCGTGAAGACCACCTGCCACATGCCTGCCATCGGCAACTGGGTAATGTTGACCAGCGGGTTGTTGCTCATTTTCTCACCTGCTGCGTAGTCGCCTAGGAGGTGATAGCCTGCGGCGACGTGGAACCAGTGAAGCACGGCGAGCATGGCCACACGGCCATGCTTCAGCTCGATGGCTCGGTACTGAAGAAGCTCCTTCTCAGTGCACGTCTCGCTGATGCCCGCGGGGTCCCAGAACATGTCAGGGAGAGGGCCACCAGTGCCGGCGATGAGCTCCTGCGCAGGTGTCAAAGCACGCAGCGGGGAGTCAGTGTAGAGCGACCAGTCGCCCCAAGCCTGTCCTGTCAATCCGTTCTGAAAAAACATGCCAATGATGGCCATCATGGCCAGCCTGCCATTGGCGATCTCGGCTGCCAGCTTCTTCTCCCTCTGGTCCGCGGGCGCCTTCACGAAACCGTTCGGGATGCCAAGGTTGCCTGCGTTCTCGAAGTCGCCTGGGGCACGCTTGGGATCATCGACGTATTGGAAAAGCTCCACACTGCCCGCGAACGCCACCATCTGTGCCCAGCCGCTCAAAGGCACCTTGGAAAAGGCGGCGAAACCTGTTGGGACATCTGTGAACTTGAGACCCAAAGACGAAGAGAGGTCACCCGGCCAGCGGTAATACTCGGGAACAATGTACCCCATGCACGCCAGCATCGCCACGCGCCCGTGCTTCAGTTCCACGTAGCGGCGGCGACGGAAGGAGGCTGCATCGCCGCCCTTAGTAAAGCCCAGAGGATCCCAGAAACCGGTAGGAGGCTGGACACCGAGTTCCGTCTCAAATGCACGGAGAGGGGACTCCGTGTAATTCGCCCAATCACCCCAGGCAGAGCCTGTGAGACCATCTTGGAAAAACATTCCGATGATCGCCATCATGGCCAGGCGGCCGTTAGCGATTTCAGCGTTAAGTTTCTTCGTCTTCAACTCCGCATCCTCCACGGGCTTCCCGCCCAGGTATGCCGGAATGCCCAGGAAACCGTAGTCGTAGTTCAAAGCTTCCTCACCGAAGAGACGCGTCTGGAGCTTGCCAGGCGGGTTGGTTGGCCTCTGGTCGGCAATCCAAAGATCGCACAGACCGCAGAAGACCGTGTACTGGAACCAGCCGACGGCGGGCACAATAGTGACGGCCTTGAGACCATTCCTGGTTTGTCCGGTGAAAAATCAAGGTGTTTATTTTGTGCTTTGCTTGCGGGGGGAGGGCGAGGGCCAAGCAATGCCAACGATTACCTTGTCATCAGCTCAGGATCCATCATGCAAAGGGTCTTGCAAATTTGAACAAGCGTGGACACAACAATGCTATTCTCAGCATACATTCAGCCCAGTGCGACTAGACGAAGGACACCAACCTTTCAGACCCGAGCTCAATCTTGGAGTGATGTTCTGGCACAACGCCTGCCGATGTGGAACTCTTTGAGCGAGATCCAACGCAACGACATGACTGGCAAACCCTGCATACCAGCAACAATGGCATCAGTATGTACTAGGCCTGCAGGAGTTTCTACAAGGCCTGCCCAAGGTTTAGGGAGCCCCGAGCCAGTCAAAGCACGTGATCCTCCAAGGCCAAACTGATTGGAGCTTCGCTTCTCGGCTGAACTTTGGCTAGGAGCTATAACTTCTCCTGTTATGGAGACAAGCATGTTACTACTAGGAACGTATCACTTTCATCCTCAAGCGCACTTTCTCGCATCTACATCCATTTTTCTTCCGTTTTCTTGAAGTAATTTCTTTAGATTAGATGTTGCACCAAGAAGAAAACCATCCTTTCCAGATTCGCTTTATTCCTGGGATTGTGCGTCGAAGGAAAACCTTTCACTGCTTCGGAGTACTAGATTGCCAGTGGCGTGACTGAAACGAACGTAGCGCGTGAATCTACTTCAGAAACTTCATGGGCCACGAGTAGTACATTGACTTGGCATGTTGCTGGTAGAAGCAGATCCACGTAACACCGTTCCCCAAATTTGTATCTCTTCCTCATTCTTGTCACAAAGCCTTGGTAAGAAAAGCACTCGGCAACCTAGACTCGGGACGTCGGCAAACTTGAGGTCCGTGCTCGGGGAGAGGAAGCCCGGGAAACGGACGAACTCCTGCACAATGTAGCCGGTGCACGCGAGCATTGACACGCGTCCATGCTTGATCTCGACCACGCGGCGGCGGTAGAATTCCTGTGCATCGCCATCGGAAGTGAAACCTGCGGGATCCCAAAAGCCCAGAGGGGCTTGCACTCCAAGCTCGTTCTCGAAAGCGCGGAGCGCTGCCCTCTCCTTCCTCGGCGCAGCGACCGCGGCGCCCACCGCTGCACCCAGCCCGCAAAGAGCTAGACCAGTGCTGGCGGAGGCCTTGGTCTGGGCCGCTTGGGCCGCCTGGGCCTGGGCGCTGCTGCGCAGAGCGGGCAGGCGGGCGGTGCTCGGCGCGGCCACGAAGGCCGTGCAGCCCGCGGCAGCCAGGGCAGCGGCGGCAATCTGCTGGGTGGGAGCCATGGTGTTCTGAAAGTGCTGCGATCTGGCTCTCCGGCTTGCCAGCAGCGAGGGCTTGAGCCGTAGCCTTGCATTGTCCCGCACAGTCCACACACAGCATGGCTGAGCTCTCAAAGTGTAGATGGAAAAGGTTCTGCAACACCCGTCTAGGTTTCACGGTCTACCGTCTTACAAGTCTTCGTACTCGTGGAAGTGGCCCTGCCTCGTGTACTAGGGCTAGCAGTAGCAAAATTATGACAACAGTACAGTAACAAGCGTGCGCACAAGACTGAGGGTTTTCACGCAGGCGTTTGTGCGGTCTTCCGGTCCTGTTTCTCCTGCGGTTTGCTTTGTTTTCCTGGCGACACCCCTCTTGAGGTTTGGGGAGGGGCGGAGGGGCAGGGCGGGCACATTTGGTGCTCTGCACACATAATCGTAAGCGCCACCAAATGCCAGGCTTTCAAGCCCGCAGTTCCTCAAGTAGTTCGTGGTGGATCAATACAGCCGTGGGCACGTTTGTGCAATTCCTAGTGGCCCGAGTCCGGTCAGAGCGGGCTGGGACGGCTTGAGCCTCCAGGGTGGTCTTGATGTCTTGGGCGGAGCGTCTGTCCTGAGGATGTCATGAGGCACAGCCTGATCTCTGAACCAACACAGTACTACGGTGCAAATCCTATCATTCACCGTGGGGATTGCCGCTTGGCGCTCGCTGGAGTTGGACGGCATATCGCTTCAGACCCAGGAGCTCCTTCGCACCAAGCACAGCCATGAGGTAGGCACCCATGTATTTCATCGCCATGGCCTCAAAGGCTCGACAGTTGGGACTCAGACACTCACGCCCACAAGCCGCGATGAACCCCAGACGCGCATCCCACACCAGAATCATTAGAAGGCCCTGATAGCCCCTGCCCTTCACGTGAAAGAACAAAAGAGCAAGCCAGAAAACAAAAGCCCCGAGAATCCACCGAACCATAAAAGCTGAGTAGTTCATCGCTTTGCCTCAATGACCAAAGAAGCTTGAGGACTGGGACGAAAAGAGCTCACATGAAGCATTGCAGCAGCAAAAGATTGAGATGGCAGAGCCGGGGAAATTGCGCGGCAACCACTCACGCCCTCAGGCCCTCGGCTTCATATCTGAGCCCCTGCCCTGCAAGAGCAAGAGAGCATTCCAGAAAACAAAGGCCCGAGAATCCTGAATCCTTGAGTACACGACTCCCCTCAACCGAAGGCAAATAAGCAGAACCACAAGCCAAGCGAGACCTTTAAGTAAAACTCTCCAGGATGCTGGGTCCTGCGCCCGTCGACCTGCGCCCGTCGACCCCGACCGGCTGTAGGTATCGTTTCGAGCCGAAGGTCTTGCACGAGTGGGGGCAGCAGTGAGCCTCATTGAACTCTCGGCTGCGCTGCAGCGTTTCGACTGGCAGTGTGTAAGTTTGCTGCCTCACGGGCTTAAACTCAAGGCTGGCGCTTCTCGCACTTTTCTCGCCTCGCACTTGGCATCGACAATACCATACAAGAACAATAGTATATAGTATACAAGAACAATAGGACTTACAATACAATACAATGCAACAACACAAACGAAGCTCACAATGCAGTAATAACAATATGCAGTAACCATACAAGACAACACCACACAACACACGCCCTCTCTGGCTGCAAAAAATGCAGCTGTATGCACCTGTGAGAGCGGAGCTCCGAAAATTGGCTTGTGCTTGCCGCCGCTTCGGAAACACACCAAGTCAATCGCTGCGGACTGGGGGTTATATGAAGTATAGGGGTACGTCGTGCCCCGTGGATTGAGGAGTTGCGTCCACCGATTGCAGATACATATGGTGCTGCGGCTGATGGCTTCACCAAAGCTCTCGTCCTGAAAACTGTGCAAGCCTTTCAAACGTCTCCTGGTCTGACGACGCAGGAGCGGCGGTAGAATCTAGGCTTCTGCCAGCAACTCCCAGATACAGCAAACATCCATCAATGCGCGAACAGTGAGAACTGTGCAGGTTATCCAGTATTTACGAGTAGCTTCGACAACCTCTGCATCTGAGGTTCGGCGATGCTGGTTGGGGGGTGCCTGGGTGCGAAAACTTGTCTAGGACTTGCGTACTGGCAACTCCTGCCATCTTCTTCATGAGGACCTTTAATTTTATGCCACCTCATCTCCCGGGCTCTTGAACTGAAGGGTCCTGCTGCTCACTCGGGCTTGAGATTTCCGAGAGGAGTCCAGATTTGCTCCACGCCATCCTTGCCAGTAGCCAACCTGCGTGCCGAATGGAGAGTCGACGGAGCTTCCAGCGAAACAATTTCACGCACTGACGACTGAAGTGGAGCAACTGTACCATAGTAACTGCACTCAGGTAGCTCAGCAATGACGATGCCAAGGAAGGACACCATCCCCATGCCTCAGGTTCGGAGCCACTGCTCAGCTGCAGGATTACGCAGAAGGATGACAACGACATCTGCGCTGAGCCAAGCTGCGACAGTTGTTCAATTCCCGGTCTTTCCACTCCGTGTAGGTCTGGCCAAAGCCGGCAGGATCTCCGAAGTCACCTGCAAACACATGGAAAAACAAAAACAGAGTGCAGGACCGTTCAGAGCAGACTGTGGTCCCTCTGAACATCAGCCTGAATTCGCTTGCACTACTGCACTCTTCTCCATTGGTCTAGTCAAGACTCCCTGGGCTCATTTGACAGTTGAGGACTTCGATGGAGAGCGCTACATTAACAAAAATTAGCCCTCCACCTCAAAATTGTTCTCAGGCGCCTGGGTCCATGTCTGGGTCCTGCTTGAAGACCGTCAACTCCAGGGCCCCAGCCCTGAGATGCTTCCGTGGGTTTTGATTCGGGCGTTTGGGAGGCGCATGGAGGAATTCTCGACCACACATTCTCGGACGGGCCCAACAACGCCCTTTTTTTCCCCTCCAATCGGAGGCTGATGGTCCTCTTCCAGGCTCATCCTGGGTCGTGGCTCAGGGCTTAGGGTTCAGGAAGCCGGAAGGTCCAGGGCCTAAGGCGTAGGATGCCGGCGTTTTTGAGGGCTGCAACATCTGGAGTCGACGTGCGGGGGCCTTGATGCGCCTCTTCACATGTTCCAGTTGTAGGTCAGGGCAGGTGGCATAGCCCAGGACGGGGCATTGTTGACAAAGTCGTCAATGGGAGGCAGCTGCTGCCAGGGAGTGAAGTCGAAGTCCGCGACCGGGACGTCCGTCAATGGCTTGCAGATGTCGGCGCCGCCGCAAAGCTGGCCGACACCCGCGGCATACTCTCCAGTGACAACGTCCTGTGCCACAAGCCCCGTAATGCCAATCATGGCCAGGCGGCCGTTGTTGAGTTCCTGGCGCTGGACGCGCTTCCAGCCATTCCAGATCTCAGATGGGTAGTCCTCGACGATGATGCCCTTCCATCCGAGCACGTCCCAAGGGCGGTCCGCGGGGGGCTTGCAGATGTAGGTGGTTAGCCACTCCAAGCACATGATCGTGAAGACCACCTGCCACATGCCTGCCATCGGCAACTGGGTAATGTTGACCAGCGGGTTGTTGCTCATTTTCTCACCTGCTGCGTAGTCGCCTAGGAGGTGATAGCCTGCGGCGACGTGGAACCAGTGAAGCACGGCGAGCATGGCCACACGGCCATGCTTCAGCTCGATGGCTCGGTACTGGAGAAGCTCCTTCTCAGTGCACGACTTGCTGATGCCCGCGGGGTCCCAGAACATGTCAGGGAGAGGGCCACCAGTGCCGGCGATGAGCTCCTGCGCAGGTGTCAACGCACGCAGCGGGGAGTCAGTGTAGAGCGACCAGTCGCCCCAAGCCTGTCCTGTCAATCCGTTCTGAAAAAACATGCCAATGATGGCCATCATGGCCAGCCTGCCATTGGCGATCTCGGCTGCCAGCTTCTTCTCCCTCTGGTCCGCCGGCGCCTTCACGAAACCGTTCGGGATGCCAAGGTTGCCTGCGTTCTCGAAGTCGCCTGGGGCACGCTTGGGATCATCGACGTATTGGAAAAGCTCCACACTGCCCGCGAACGCCACCATCTGTGCCCAGCCGCTCAAAGGCACCTTGGAAAAGGCGGCGAAACCTGTTGGGACATCTGTGAACTTGAGACCCAAAGACGAAGAAAGGTCACCCGGCCAGCGGTAATACTCGGGAACAATGTACCCCATGCACGCCAGCATCGCCACGCGCCCGTGCTTCAGTTCCACGTAGCGGCGGCGACGGAAGGAAGCAGCATCGCCACCCTTCGTAAAGCCAAGAGGATCCCAGAAACCGGTAGGAGGCTGGACACCGAGTTCCGTCTCAAATGCACGGAGAGGGGACTCCGTGTAATTCGCCCAATCACCCCAGGCAGAGCCTGTGAGACCATCTTGGAAAAACATTCCGATGATCGCCATCATGGCCAGGCGGCCGTTAGCGATTTCAGCGTTAAGTTTCTTCGTCTTCAACTCCGCGTCCTCCACGGGCTTCCCGCCCAGGTATGCCGGAATGCCCAGGAAACCGTAGTCGTAGTTCAAAGCTTCCTCACCGAAGAGACGCGTCTGGAGCTTGCCAGGCGGGTTGGTTGGCCTCTGGTCGGCAATCCAAAGGTCGCACAGACCGCAGAAGACCGTGTACTGGAACCAGCCGACGGCGGGCACAATAGTGACGGCCTTGAGACCATTCCTGGTTTGTCCGGTGAAAAATCAAGGTGTCTATTTTGTGTTTTGCTTGCGGGGGGAGGGCGAGGGCCAAGCAATGCCAACGATTACCTTGTCATCAGCTCAGGATCCATCATGCAAAGGGTCTTGCAAATTTGAACAAGCGTGGACACAACAATGCTATTCTCAGCATACATTCAGTCCAGTGCGACTAGACGAAGGAAACCCACAGTCTTTCAGACCCGAGCTCAATCTTGGAGTGATGCTCTGGCACAACGCCTCCGATGTGGAACTCTTTGAGCGAGATCCAACGCAACGACATGACTGGCAAACCCTGCCTACCAGCCACAATGGCATCAGTATGTACTAGGCCTGCAGGAGTTTCTACAAGGCCTGCCCAAGGTTTAGGGAGCCCCGAGCCAGTCAAAGCACGTGATCCTGGGAGGCCAAACTGATTGGAGCGTCGCTTCTCGGCTGAACTTCGGCTAGGAGCTATAACTTCTCCTGCTATGGAGACAAGCATGTTACCACTAGGAACGTATCACTTTCATCCTCAAGCGCATTTTCTCTCGTCTACATCCAATTTTCTTCCGTTTTCTTGAAGTAATTTCTTTAGATTTGATGTTGTGCCAAGAAGAAAACCATCCTTTCCAGATTCGCTTTATTCCTGGGATTGTGCGTCGAAGGAAAACCTTTCACTGCTTCGGAGTACTAGATTGCCAGTGGCGTGACTGAAACGAACGTAGCGCGTGAATCTACTTCAGAAACTTCATGGGCCACGAGTAGTACATTGACTTGGCATGTTGCTGGTAGAAGTAGATCCACGTAACACCGTTCCCCAAATTTGTATCTCTTCCTCATTCTTGTCACAAAGCCTTGGTAAGAAAAGCACTCGGCAACCTAGACTCGGGACGTCGGCAAACTTGAGGTCCGTGCTCGGGGAGAGGAAGCCCGGGAAACGGATGAACTCCTGCACAATGTAGCCGGTGCACGCGAGCATTGACACGCGTCCATGCTTGATCTCGACCACGCGGCGGCGGTAGAATTCCTGTGCATCGCCATCGGAAGTGAAACCTGCGGGATCCCAAAAGCCCAGAGGGGCTTGCACTCCAAGCTCGTTCTCGAAAGCGCGGAGCGCTGCCCTCTCCTTCCTCGGCACAGCGACCGCGGCGCCCACCGCTGCACCCAGCCCGCAAAGAGCTAGACCAGTGCTGGCGGAGGCCTTGGTCTGGGCCGCTTGGGCCGCCTGGGCCTGGGCGCTGCTGCGCAGAGCGGGCCCGCGGGCGGTGCTCGGCGCGGCCACGAAGGCCGTGCAGCCCGCGGCAGCCAGGGCAGCGGCGGCAATCTGCTGGGTGGGAGCCATGGTGTTCTGAAAGTTCTGCGATCTGGCTCTCCGGCTTGCCAGCAGCGAGGGCTTGAGCCGTAGCTTTGAGAACTTTGCATGCACAACCAAACAGAAACAAGCACTGTACTCACCCTGCATCTTCCAGTAAGGGGCCATGCGAGATGATGCTAACGTGTTCGCTTGGCACGGGCCCTCCTCAAAGCGCTATGCTCCTTGCCACCATCAAAGTTCCGCAGTTCTCAGGCCAAGGTGCAAAGCCACAATGCCCAGCAGCCCATAGGGACCTGTTGTTTCAGGGGTCCGTCAAGCGGGCTCCACTCTAAGGTGTTCAACGTCAGGGGTTGCAAGAAGATGTGCGGACCAAACCGAACTGCAAGTGCGGAGCCATGCATATGTAATCATGCCGATGCTTTCCCCCACACAAAAGCATGATTCCATTGCAGTGCCTGGGGGCGTGATGACAGCCTGAATGCCGGAAGGCACATCTTCGAAGCCTCGAAAGCCAGCTGCATTCACAGGACGCTGACCACAAACACAGGGACTGGGACGAAAGCTACTGCAGGGATCACGGGCATCAAGACTCAACATCTGGTTGCGCCCACGCCCAGATATCCCCACACCCGTGGAGTCTCCACTCCAGATGACCCCTGCCGCGGTTGTGAAATGCTTGACTTTCGGGTGGGGATGTTCCACGCGAACATTTTTCGTACGTTTTTCTGTTCTTGGAAAGGGCCTCTGGAACGAAAGGAAAACTGTAAGCAAAAAGGCAGGGAAGAAAGAAAGAAAGAACCCGAAAACCTTAAACCCTAGTATTAACACCTTTTGCACCTAGCCTAGAACCTGCAACCCTTAACAACCCTGACCCTGAACCCTTTAATAACACGGACTCTGACAATGCCGGGAAAGCCTACAACGATCGCGCCGTTTTACAGCGACCCCGTGCATGTTTAACACTTTAGAACTTCACAGGTCTCCCAAAAGGTGAGCATGTACCGTGTTTAGCCCTCAAGTCCGAGCCCCAAACTTAAACCCCAGACCATTAAGCCCTTCCCGCGAAATCAAAAAGACCCAAACCCTAAACCGCAGGCCCGAAAACCTCACCCTAAACCGTAAGGCAGGCAAAAACAAAGATCTACATAAACACAAAGAAATGACGCAATTTCAGAAGCATCCACGAAATAATTCTAAGGCGTAAACCAATAAGTATACATGCGAATATATAGAAGCAAACTGACTGCTTCTGGATTCTCTGCGATACTCTAACAGCAGCCCAAGGGTGTGACCCGGGCAAAGAGAAGTGTTGAGCTAAAATCCGACCGTCCCGCGCCATTTTTGTGGACGACGAACAAGACTTAAAAAACACAACAGCGACCGATATGTTATCAACGGCAACTCATGCTCAATCAAAGCTTGCTTTGCGGCGACACCCCGTACAAAGACTCGGCCTGGCAGGCGGAACCAGTGCTGGAAGACCATGCCCAAAGAGGCGATCATCGCCTCTGCTCACAGTGGCTCACAGAGCTTGATATGCCCAGATGCTTAAGGCATATTTGGTAAGCAAGGGTTTCGACTCCTGCTCACTTTCACGCCAGCATGGCGTGGGCGGCGTGGACAATTATAAGTGTTCAGGTCTTCGCCTCTCAGCTGCATTCCACCCTCGACCCTCCTCGATCCTCCTCGACCCTCCGCACGTGTGGCTTGTGTGTGTGTGTGTGTTAGTTAGTTAGTTAGTTCTGTGTTCTGCTATGGGGTTGAACTCATTGCAAGCAAGGGGCCACTCGACCATGCTTGAGCTCAGCAGAGCGCAGCTGGTAGAACCCTGACGGATTTCGGACAGTGCATAACAAGGCCCTTAAGTTCACAACATCCAGGGGAGACAAGAAGCCAGTCTTTGCTCATTTCCATCGCCGGCTCTTGTTCTGCCACCCTTCCCATGATTCTCCCCAACCGAGCAACGCCGATTTTGATGTCAGGCCATCAAGCACTCCTGCTCAGACCTTGCCCTGAATTCACCCGAGATCTCTTTGACCTTGAGGTCTTGCACGACTACCGGACTACCGCCTAGGTACCCTAAACCCATTATCCAAACTTTCCCAAGCCTGTCCTGATCCGCCCCACCCCAACACTACCCTCCCTCTTTCCAGGAGCAGGTAGCACTGAGCCCTCGCATGAGGCCTTGTACTATTCCTTGTCCAGTTCTGTGAGACGACCCTTTATGATGCGGGCGGGGAGAAGATCGGCGCATCTACAGAAAAACACGAAGCTTTTTGTTGTTTAGGTCGCAAGCGTGGCCTTCACGATCACCCTCCTTGGCAAAGCCAAGCGGATCAAAGTATCTCATTGGGAGAGTCACGCCTGCAGCCAGCAGCGAGTCAGTACCGCGCAAGCGAAGGAACGCGTATGAACGCGTACTGACGCATTGCTCGGCGTGCCTGGCTCCTTTCTGGGGTCAAACGGCGGCTCTGCCTCCTCCAATACCTTAGTGGCTCAAGTCACAGTTGGGCACGCCAGTCGAGATTCTAGTTGGACACCAGGGCTTGGGAGAGGGAAGGGGGAGGACTGAGTGGAGGAGTCTCCCATGGTCATTTTGCAGCCTTGCTGCAGCCTCGGCTTTCCGTGCCACTCGTTGGCCTCACACATTCCATCTCTGCATATAACAGAGAGGCCTGTGACCGTCCCCCCTACTCATGAAAATAAAATTCAAGGCGAGGGGCGTGCCGCAGCCACCGAGCCCATTGCAGCCGCTGCCACAACGGCAGTGGCACCAAGGCCACTGGTCCCGCCAGGCACAGGCCTGTGCGACCCCTGCTGAACAAGTGGCCAACCATTTCCCGGATACGACAACAACCTCCTCTCAGACCCTCAGGGCACTTCTGGACGTTCTCGGGCGCCACGGTGGCGGCATGCGGCGCGGCTGGCGGCACGAAGGATGGCGCCGCGAAGTAGAGCGCGGTGCCTAAGGCACCTGCTGCAGCGCGTGATATCATGGCAGTCTCTCAGCATGCAGGGTTGATGAACATCTAAACGCCTGCCACAAGCGGCGTCGACTTCGTCATGGCCACGCGAATGCGGGCAGGGCTAGAGGCTGTATGATGCTGAATCTGCGGCCAGCCAGAGCTCACACTGACACCCTGAAGCAAGATTCGCATGGCCATGAAGAGATTCCCACTTCAACTCGGAACATTGCCTGCCGATGGAGAGCAAGCTGAACCCAGCCCTTCAACTGATATCATCGAAGGCATGTCCAGGGACCCCAAGTGCAACAAGCAAGGAGTGGTGGCTGGCATGACGATTCTTTCTTTTCGTGCATTGAATTGAGCGCAACTAGTGAGAACGCATGGGCACATCGAATTAGTTGGTTACCATGCAGCTCCCAGACGGGAGGTGGCTAAAAAACTCCAGGGAACCAATGTATCCGCAGAAGCTTCGGTCTTCTCTGGCATGAGACTCCTCCTGCTCCGCGTTCACCTGCTGCCGCATCACCGCGCCTCAACACAACGCCCGGCAAATACAGCATGCCTGCGCCGGTACCATGACTCGTGGTAAAACTAAGTGAGTTCCAGAGAGAGCGAGTAAGAAAAAAGGATGTAATGGAGGTCAAAGTGGGGTAGTAACGCGTGTGTGTTGGAGCTTCTCTGCAAGAGGTCAGGGGGTCTAGCAGGGGGTAGGGGGTAGGTGATAGTGACGCGATAGATGCTCTTTGTCTCTCTTCACGAGCTTCCAGCGCTTGGGAGCTTCCTGCGTGCTTTCCCTCCGTTCCAGTGTGAGTGTCTTCTTCGGGCGCATTAGCTTTTCTGAACCTGCTTAAGCCGCAGGACTCGATTGTGCCTGATGTTCTTTTCCATGTTCCCACCCTCAATTTGGTCATATGCGTCTCTTTCAGCCGGGCTCTTCCGCGCAACTGGACCTCAGCGACTCAGCGATGCCGATCCGTCATCTTTGTGCTTTTCTGGCGCGTGTCTGCTGAATCGCGCTCGCAGGACGTGGCGTAGATTCGTAGGTAGAAGGATAGGTCTCTTTTGATTTTCGGGTGTCATGTTGATTCTGCACAGTGTACAGCATTGGATCAAGGCACCCGGGAAACAAGAAACAGCAACCGGTGTCTTCTCATCTGTCCTGAAGACAACGCGATCGGTCGAGAGAGAGGGAGAGAGGTACCATACTAAGCTTGCGGCGACAGTGCTGGCACTAAGTGGATTGCGTGGGCACTGGCGCGAAGCCTCTGCAAATGAAATTTGGGGCTCCAGCTCTCACAATGGCCAGGTCAGTCTGCGAATACACGGTGCAGCCCACACAGAAGATTAGTAACCATACCAGAGAGAGATGACCTCTTCTCCCGATAAGGTTTTTGTAGCATAACGTGATGAGCCTGCATATCACATCCGGCTGAGCCACTTGTATACCCCTTGACGGGCCAAAACCTTACCTCACCTGTGGTCAACATCTGGGATCTTGCAAACACATCAGGAAATGCCAAATTTCGATGTGGATATCACTTACAAAACCTCACAGGCTTCAGGCCCTTTTGCAACAATCTATAGGACACGGGCGTCGGCGTCTGCCTATTTCCCTAACCCTAGCCTTTTGAGCCCAGAAACATCAGAAACTAACTGCGCCCCGAGGGCATCCCCGGCCCCTTGTTGAACCCCAAACTCTGCAATTCCCTCTGAATCCTGAACTATCATGAAACACCCATGTAAATCTGCATCCCGCCGTGATCTGCCGAGGACAGAAAATCCCCAAGGAAGAGGCTGGCGAAGCCTCCATCTGCTCCCGCCGCGTTTTGGGAGGGCCTGGGCGGCATGGCCGAGTTGGGGGACTTACAGCCTGGTGCCTCTGGAAAAGTGCGATGTTCGCGAAAGGCTTCAGGGACAGCAGGGCAAAAACTGTCAAACTCCAGCGAAGCATCGCGTCGGCGGACTGTTTTTGGAACCTCAGGGCTGGAAAGCCTCGGAGTGTGACAGTGGGCCAGAAAAAGGAAAGCTTTTCGAGCCCACACCGTTCTTTGCCGTGCTCTGCCGTGCTCGCCGCTGCGACTTAAGACTTGTTGATCGCTGTTGAGGGGAGAAGCTACAGCTCACAGGTCGCGGGGGAGCGCGTGCCATAAATCTGCCGAAGGCGGACTCTCGGCCACCGTTCGGCAGGCGACGAGGGCACGAACTTGATAACTCCAGAGCACGCACCTGTGTTCACATTGGGGTCTCCATTCCAGGCACCCGCGGCTAGCACTGACACCTAAAAGCATCCCTAAAAGCCGCATCAATCCACATCATGCGCTTAAACACTGAAACTGACACCAACTGAGAGTTGGCTGAGGGCAACACTTGGTGTTCTGACAGCCTTTGAATAGTGCTTGAGAGCTCATGACAGTTTCTTCCGCATACTTCTAGCAACATAAACGCACAAAGTCTACTGTGACACTTCACGTATGATTGTTAGCTCCAAGCCATTCAACAAAGCCTCCTGGGCTTTGCGAGCAGAGTTGCATCTGCAAACGGAGGGTTCACTATCGCAAAAAGAGGGACATGGCGATGACCTTTGTCATAGCTCATGTGGCAAGGAGCTCATAGGAGCTCTGCAAAAGCTAGAAGCGCTTCTAGCGTTACAGCATGTTACAGCCGATCAGCTTGCAATAGCTGCTCAAAAACTTTGTGGCTGACCCTGACATGAAACAGCAGTGCGACTCGTGCCGTATCATATGAGGACCATACGGCGTATCTACAGCACACGCTAAGCGCGATAGCAGCAGAGTCGACGACCTACCGTAAGCTTACTCTATTGACTGCTTCTCCATTCCAAGTCTGCAGTCTGAACTGGGGATGGCCGGGAAGGTTGAGGTGTAATCAACCGCCGCATTTGTTATGTAGGACATCTGGCGACTCTTGTGGAAATCTGATGCACCTATTGCCCCCATCCGCCAGAACTAGCGACAAAAGCTTCCGCCTGTCATCGTTCTCTTCCTTGCGGGCACCGGGGGGGGCCCTGCCTTTTCTGCCCCAGGTTCTTCAGAGGTGGTCGCTGAAACGCAGAAGGAGGTCACCTTTGCACTCTTCGACACATAGCTCAAAAAGTATCGAAAGCTAGTCAGCCACCGCCCAATCTGAGACAAGCCCGCCCGTCCCCTGACCTCCTTCGAGCTCGACACCTCTGACCTAGTCGGAAGTCTCCCCCAGCCCAATGCCAAGGTGGGGGCTGGATTGGCCGCCTCCAACACCCCCGAGTTCAACCTACAGTTGGTAAGATACCTACGATGTTCGAGTCTGGAACGCTGCGCGCCTGGTCGTCAAAGCGCATGGCCCACTGCTTCAAGGCAGACCTGGAAGTCCGATAGCAAATGGCTCAAGGAACATCGCAGGAACATCGCAGGAACATCCGACGATGGGCGGGTGAGACCCCAGCATCCCAACCCAGGTCAAGCAAAACAACCGGAGACCCGGAACCCACCCCATGCAAAAACCGAGACACTTGACTTCCTGCGATGACACAGAGCAGTCCATGAGGTCCTTGTTTGCAAACAGGACCATCTTAATGTTTAAGTGAACTCGAGAATGGAGGTGCGAATACCAAACCTCGCGGCTGTGGGGTTTCGTCCCCAAACCTTGTGTCATGAACGATTTCCATTGCGTTAGGTCGTGATTGTATTGGAGAAAATCGTATGGCAAAATGAACCAGCTGTTGAACGAAGGATTCATGGTGCGCGAGAACTCCTCATAATGGATCTAAAGACCTTGGATAATAATCTTTGATCGTGAAGTGAACGCACTGGTTCTTCAAAATCTTGCCCTTATATAATTCTACTAACAAAAGCTCTAAATAAGATGGAATTCACGCTCGCCATTAAAATATTAACAAAGAATCATAGCGAGCGAATCACATGTACGCTCTTAAGATTATAGACATTCTGGATGGAAATGAGCGTACTGTATTCTGTATCCATGATAATCGCCTGTAACAAAGAAATATGAAAGGGGCGACTGGAATGAATGAGTGAAAAGAGATAAAAGAGAAGAAAAGTGAGTGAATGATCGAGAAGAGAAATAAGATAGTAATATTAAGGTCATTTCTCACTCCTTTTATCTCATTATGAGGGATTTGTAGAGCCTGATATCCTCTTTCGGGCTGGGTCCAGAAACGAAGAATTTCCCAACTATTCGTGTCGAGAGATCCTGTTGCAAGCTCTTCTCAATAGCCCCAGAAGCCCAGAAGAGGTCCAGAAGCGGCAGGGGCCCGAGAGGCTCAGAAGAGACTTGGAAGATGCCCCCCCACTATTCTTGGCGCGCTGGCGTGGAGCATTCACAGCCCCAAGCGCAATGTTGGGGATGAGGGCGGCGCCATGAAACATCTTTTCGAAAGCAAGATGCTCAGCATGCAATAAAAAATGGGTGGAACCCCGCGACTGAAGCATGCAACAACTGCTCAGTCGAAGCTCTAACCACAAAGTGCGCGTGCGACGAAGTGCAACCAAGAGTGGTAGTTGAGGAAACGGTACTTTAAAGGCATCGTGGTCCTTCAATAAAACAACATAGAACAACCCTCCACTACCCACATGTCTACAAGGTGGTCGCCCGTGGGGGTGCACATATCCACCCACCCCGGACAACACATTTTGATGACACGTGCTGGGAGGCCCACGTCCCGCGACGCCACATCGGTCCAAGGCGCCCGAAGCACTTTCTGATGCCACTTGACGACACTTGGGGCCCTGATGCCACGCCATGTTCTGATGCCACATTCGGCGACGCCGCGTCTCTCTGACACCACGCGGGCTAGTGACGAAACTCGAGCTGGCTAGTACGTCCGCGAGCTAGCAAGCGACACCATGGTGTCTTCGTGACGATACGTGGGGGATGTGACACCACGTGACGCCACGTCCTGATATGTCCTGACACCACCAAGTGATCTAGCGACGCCACGTTCTGATGCCAGGTCTGTCGTCACGTCTGTCTGCTGACTTCCATTTGTCTTTGAAGACCATTCATTCTTCAGATTTCAGTCCTAAGCCCGGCCCCATGTGTCTTCAGATGTGTCTTCGGTCTACGCCCCCCCCCCCCATACCCCGCAATGTGCCTGTTACAAACCTAAACCCGGGAAACCAAAAGAGAGTGGTGAGTCGGCGCTGCTTGATCTAGAATCTAGATATCCGCTTGAACGGTTTTGCATGTGAAGCAACAATGCCTGAATCGCCAGAGCTCGAACCGCCCTTATGCTTTAGTCGTCCGTGCTCAAATTGCGGGTGCTTTAATCGATATTTTGCAAGCTCTCGTCGCACAGGACATCAAAGGACACCAAACTTTGGTGTCGCAAGCTTGCGGCTTTTGCCCCGCTACAGCACGCAGCGCTTCACAATTTCTCACAGATTCACACCAAAAAAACTATCAGAACCAAGAAGGGTTTGAGCCATTTGGTCGCCGGGGTGCCGCCAGCTGGGCCGGGATCCACGCGTAGACCTCAGCCTCGCTGCTGCTGCCTTAGCGATTGTTCGTCCCTCTTGCCCCCCAACCCCCAGGATTCAACTTTCCACCACTGAGCCTGTGTGGCAGATGTGCGCCAATGTGTACCTGTCAACTACACCTCACCAAACAGACCAGGCTACACAAGGGTCCCGGCAGACTGATTCCGCGCGGGGTCAAGACTGATTCCGCGAGGGGTCAGCTCGTCTTCGCTGGTTTTGATGCCACTAGTCGCGCACTACGGGGTTGCAGCCTAGGAGGGAAAACAAGTCCCTCTGGACCACAGCCAAATGATTGGAAAACAAGATGGTTCGGTTTCAGGGCTTGTGCTTTGGTGAACTTTCGTCCGGATGCAACTGGATGCAAGTCGTTGGCTCTTTCCGAGACACTCGCAGCCCCTCTATCCCCTCTCGCCTAGTCCTAGGTCTCACTATGAAACCGAGTTTGCTGCATCGCCCAGTGCCAAGTCAGGCTCTCGCCACAGTCCCGCGCGCATTCCGAGATCGAAACCATGCTAGCTAGCGTGCATGTTGTCGCGCTTCACCCACGTGTTTTTTGTCGGCCCTAGGGGGTTTTCTTGTCTGTCAAATGGTTTGTCCCGGGGCGAAATTCCTGGATTCTAACACAACTTGACTAGGATCCTGACAGGCTGCCTATCATGTTTCAAACGATTCGAAATGTCATCGTCATGTCACTCTTTCTCGCTCTTTCGTTGTGTATGTATTTCGTTCTTTCTTCATGTCTTTCTTTGCACCTCTCCCAGTTCGTTAGGTATTTGTTCTTGTTCTGTCTTTAGCTCGCAATTTTCAATGATCCAGAGTATGTATATATATATATATAGGTATATTCCTTGCAGGACTCCCACACCCGATTGAACCTTACTCTACTAACCTGAGCCTCTGCTGAGGTCCCACATTCATCATCCTTGCCATGGTGCGGAGGATGATCATGGCATTTGACGTCAATGCCACGCCGCGCACCGCGCCTTGGGCTGAAGACCCTACAGTCTCTTGCCCTGAGTCGTGGAGTTTGTTACGAGCTTGTCGACTGTCGGTTGGCTCTGGTATCCGATGGGAGTGTCAAAAAGTTTTCTGGAATCAATGTGTTATCTCATGGCTTAGCGGCTGCTCGCATCGATACGTGTGTCATGCGTAGTCACGAGGCGATTCCCGCTTCTCGTTCAGTCGCTTGATCCTGCAAATGCATCCCAACTTCTCAATTTGGGCCGGCAGGCAAAGGCCCCCAGTTGGGGCGATCTCGCGAACGCATGGGTCCAGCTTCCTGCAGTGGCTGGGGTCTCTAGTTTGAGGACCTAGGTGAGGAAAAGCGCTGTCCAGGAAGCC